AAATATTATTTATCCTAGTAACAATATGCTTTTGGTATTTATTAATATAGAAATAGAAATACAAAAAATACCAAAAAGTATTATATGTATATAAATACCAAAAACACTTCATATTTTTTATTATTTTTGAATATTTTTATAAAGTTTTGTAATATAAATAAATATTATTTATCCTAGTAACAATATGCTTTTGGTATTTATTAATATAGAAATAGAAATACAAAAAATACCAAAAAGTATTATATGTATATAAATACCAAAAACACTTCATATTTTTTATTATTTTTGAATATTTTTATAAATACCAAAAACACTTGTCATAGAATAAAAATTACAGTATATTTAAATAATATAAAATTCAAGCTACAATACACTTTTGATATAAGCTTTTATACCCTTTTTTTTATTCAGTTAATAAACCTTTCCGGTATATTTTCTGGGTATTTTTATAAGTAATCACAAATAAACCTTCATGTTTATATTTGCGTAAAGCAAAATTGATGCAACGATCAACATTGCCTAGACTTCTTGGAAAAACAATTTGCAATTGAAATTCTGCTTTGATGATGATGATGATGACGATGACGATGATGATAATGAAGACAAATACACAAAGCACACAAAATACACAAAACATAGCAAACTTGTCCAGTTGACTTCTGGGCCTTGTCACCTCTCTGGCTTCCTTTCACATGTCCTTATGCTCTTGACGGCCCGAATGCTAATGAGCCAACCAAGCCGCCTTCTCTCGCTCTCACTCACTCTGGCCATATATATATCTGCCTTTCCTTCTCTCTTACTCTTGTCTTCTTCTGCTGTGTCCTTCGTTGGCTGTTTTTACTGAAGCGAACAAATTTATTGCACACTTCCTGTGCTTAAAAGCAAAGGCCTCACAACTTTGTATATTGAATGTGTGTGTGTGTGTGTGTGTGTGTGTGTGTGTGTAGACATGTGTGTGCATGTGTGTGTTCGTATGTCTGTATTCAATTACATGGAATATCAGCTGGCTATTGTTTGTTATTGCATGCATCGATCGACGCGATGGCAACCGCCACGTTTGATTAACGAGTTCCAGTTTGGAGTCCTGCGCAACATTTTCCAGTGATTCGCATCTAGCGGACTTTAACCCATCCTTCAGCCGTCGCCTGGTGCGCCTGGCGTCATGCTGGCGCCCCGCAGCAGCAAAATACATCAAAAACAACAACAAACCGCCCGAGGAAAATTACAACAATTAAAATGAGACATACAAGTATAGTTAAAGGCATGCAGCTGAGCAGTGTGTGGAAGGTGGCAGCAGCAAGCAGGATGAAGGGGCAGGCACTGCCTGCATGCGAATGACAACGACGGCAGCTGCAACGCGGTGGGTTGTTAACGACAGCCTTGAGCAGAGTCCGACAGCTTTGCGGCGCAACTTGTGAGGCTTTCTGAAACAATTCAGCTCTAGTTCATTTAGTTGCTAAATCGAACCCTGCGGACGAAACTATTAAAAAGATTTTCAGCTTTAAATGCATTGCTAAAATATAAAAAATACAAAGAAAACAATTTTAAAAATGCAGCTAATTCCTGCCTGAAGTGCAACTAAAATTCGTGCAAAATTTAAATATTTTTCAAGCTTTTCCCGTCTGTGTTTTATGCATCTCGCTTGCCAAGTAACATTTCCTTATTTCCCTATTTCCCTTTAGCCTTGCCAACATGCCTGCTGCAGCGCGAGTCGTATCTTTTTTCTTTCTTTTTTGCTTGTCTCACAGCTACTTCTGCGCATTGTACACTTTTAATTATTTGTGGATGTTTGTTTTTTATGGTTCGTCTCTCATTATCTGACACGACGTCGTCCTTGACTACATCCCGTGCCCCATCCTGCTCGCTGTCGTAGCAACAGCCCACATTAGCCCAAGGAAGTAATTGACTCGCGCCTTGTTGCTGTCATTTATCAAAACTCTCCGAGCTGAAAGCGTATACCCTGTATATTTGCAAAGCAATGAGGAAGCCCAAATAACTATGCGACAATTTGACTTGTGCTTCTAGAATCTGCAAGGAAAGCCTTATCGATTTTTATTGCTATTCCGAAAATGATAAAATCGTAAAAATATATGTGCTTGATATAGAAGTAAACATCAATTTTAAAATATTCAGTGTGGACAAATAGGCGGATAGCTCGTCATCAATATACCCCACGCCGTCCGTAATGTCTCGCATATACATTTAACTGCGCATAAGCATTATAGCCATTTCATAGACAAAAACAATGCCAAAATTTGTGGAGATTTGTGGCCAGTGATGCTGGCTGATTTGGTTGAGCAGCAGACAGATCCGCTGTTGGTTGCCCGGGTTCAATGAAACCTTTCGACCATAACTGAAAGCTAGTTTAAGTATTTATGCGGGTTGAAAAGTTTTATCGATATCGTAGCACAACAAAGAAGCAGCACAGCCAGTTAAATGGCAAAAACTGTTGTTCTCTGCATACGAATTTAAAATTTATGCCACGGGTTCCCTGAACCCCCATCGTGCATTGACTTGTGCGACTCCTTGTGGCATCTTTATGTTGGCTTGCCACCTCGTAGATAACACAATTTATGGACCAAAAGCATGGCTAATAACTTGCGGTTAAGCATTAATGGACTCGAGCATTGATTTCAGACAGTGCCTTAATTGCGTCGTAAATGCGTTATTGATACATCATTAGGCAAGCGATAAACGTGGCGTATACGCAATATTTACAAGCGAACTTAAAGCTATCAGAATTTAATGCCACATGCATAACGTTTACACATATTTTTATTTTTGACGCTTGAGTAAGGCACTCAAGAGCATTTTATTGCCCTTTCTGGCAAGTGGCCAAGAGCGAGGACCTTATGGCTAATAAACTGTGTGGGTGACTGAATAGTTGACAAAAAAAATCTCTTTGAGAGTCATAAAAAGTTTGAGACTATTTCAATTTAAATTGAATTGCTTATTAATATATATATATGTGCTTATAAATATGTATATACATATATATATATGTCTTCATCAGGTTTCAAGTTGCAAACATATTATTTTAAGCACATGTTTCTGAGCAGCTCAAGTTTTATAAAATTCTTCAATGTGAATAAAATATTTTTTTTTAAATGTCTTACAAAATCTAAAATATATAAAGCATATTCAAACGTGCGCAACAAAATTGTAAGTCCTCAACATTAAAGTGACTGCAATTCACTAAGGTTTTCAAGGACATCGGCTCCTCTAAGCATATATCAATTTCAGATAAAGTGTCTAAGGTTGTGGCCAAAGGGCAAAATTGATTGAAAATATACTTTATTTAAAGACTTTGCAAACACTTGAATACAATTTGTAGGCATCACTAGAGTCTGCAAGGCTTTTCATTCAAATTTTAATCACATATCAAATTTTGATATAAATGCCATAAGCTGTTCCCAAAAGGACTCAAAGCAGTTTTGGTTTTAAAGACATCACGTATTCCGACTGACATTTGGTCTACTTTTAGTTAGAGACATATTTGCGTGGGGTGCAGCGGGGCATAATTGGTAAACACGCCAAAAGAAAAAAGGGAAAAGCCTTCACTTTAGACACCTACCCCGGTCGGGCGAACGTGACGCCTTGAAAGTCTCGCCCGGGTTTATTGGACGTACGTGTCAATGAAAAATACATGCAAAAATGAGCCGAGCAGACACACAAACAGAGCAATGCAAACAAATGAAAGAAATTAAATAAATGAAATTATTGGAATATTTCTTAAGCTTCAATGCGATTAAAGCGAAAAATTGTAAATAAAATTTAAATGCAATTACTACGAAAAAAGCTTAAAACTGTTTAATTCATTCATTGGCATTGATGGATTTTTGATAAATGAGCAGACATTATGACAAATATGCATGTATATATATATCTATCTATATATAATTCAATGACAAATTGACCAATGCACACAATCACACGCACACATAAGCACACATTCATGCTGTGACGCGCCGTCAATATTTGTGCGATAAAATCAGAATCGAATAGTGGCCCAAACAATGGCCCGACATTCGGATCGAAATAGTAGGCGAGGCAGGCAGCGGGCGGACTGTGGAGCTGTGTTTGCGTGTAAAGTCAAATAATTGGCAGCAGCATGGACAAGAACTGCAATTAGAGCAAAATATTGACTAACAGCAGCTACAGCTCTGGCCACTGCCATAGATACGAGTGCGCATAGCCTGCCATGATAAATGTCTTTTGATACACATAAATGCAACTCTTTATGATTGAAATTTTTAGTGCTCAAAGTAGAAGTCAATAGCATAGCAGAAGCTAAAATTATTCACTTAAAAATCTTCACTTGAAATAAATTTATGCAGCGTAATCCGAAAGTGAAACCCAAAAAACATTCACTAAATAACTTGCCCAGAAATGAATTTTTAGCAAATGGCCCAAATGACTGGCCATTGTTGTATGGCAGCGTAAAAATAGAAGAACAGCAGACAACAGTGACTCAAATAAATGTCAACACAAAAGTAATTTTGATAGTATTCATAAAAGATTCAGTTTCAGTTTCAGTTTCAGTTTTGGATGTTGATTTCCTTTTTGCTGCAGCGAGTTTTTACCAGGCACAACGCTGCGTATGCTTGTTATGTTTGTTATTTGTTTGATGGCTGAGCACTAAATATCTAGCTCGCGCGCTTTCTCTCTCTCTCTCTCTCTCTCTCTCTCTCTCTCTCTCTCTCTCTCTCTCCCACCCCTCCTTGTGTCTGATAGCCATTTCGTATTCATTCATTGCGATTCATTTTAGCGTGTTTGGTTTTAATTAAATTTTATGCTTGCGCAGATATAAAAGTGGTTCACATAAAAAGCGTCGAGTAAATAAAAGTGCAATCAAAATTTTAAATATTTCAAATAAAATTAAAAAACACAAATATAATTAATCAACTGGCGTAGACGACAGGCAAAGTTTCTCCCACAAACAATGAGCGCGCGTTTTAACTAAAATTCGTAAAAAAAAAAAAGAGTCGAGATATCAGAGCACGAGCCAAACTTTCGGAATGGGCGATACTTTGGATGAATTGCCTCCAACGCGGCGCGACAAGCCGCAATCGCTAAACATTAGCACGGAGGAGACAGCTACAGGCGATGCTGCCAGCAGCAGCAGCAGCAGCTCCTCTGCCCGCTTCACGCGAACGCGAACACGCGACGATCCGGTTCGGGAACGCGATCACTCCTGCGACGAGCTGAGCTCCACGCACAAGCGGAAAGAAGAATTTGCTGGAGCCGCGCCGCCACCACGTCGCGAGAGCCTCAATAGCTGCGAACAGCAGCAGCAGCAGCCAATAACTCCAGGCGGCACTCTGCACAAGGCGCTGGGGCTGGGCAGTCGACCAACAACTGCTGGCAACAATCCACGGTACTCGTCCAGCGTTGTGGTTGGCGGTGGTGTGGGCAACCTAGCCGGCACCACCACGCGCAAGTGTGTCCTAACGCTGGACGGGTACTCCTATGTCATAGGTAAGGGAAGCAGCCGGAGACGCTTTATTGCCCCGTCCGGAGTCACCTTGAGTTTGCTCTTTTGTTGGGCCAGCTCTGGCCATGGTTTTGACTTTTAATTCTTAAGCTGCCACCCTGCATAAAATAATATATATGTATCTATTTTTCTATCATTTCATTGCAGGTAAGTCAATTCAGAGGGCAAACACAAGCGACAGATTGTTACGTTCGCCCAGGTACGTGGCCCATTGCAGCATTAAATTGAAAATGAAATTGAATTTTGCTCCAAAGCGAGCTGTGAAGGGTGAGGGGAAGGGGAGGGGGAGGGTTGGCTGGTGTGCGGGCATTGGCTATTATAAAACTTTGCTCCTTTTCCTTATCCTTTCTGCTAACCAGCACAACAATTCATTTCGAATTGCTGTTGGAAATTTATGGGCAACTTTTAATACTGCAGCAGATTGCGTATACGACGCATGGTCAGGGCAGACATTTTAGAAAATATGTACGCAAAACACAGACGGGCAGCTCGTAGCCTGAGTGACAGCCCTTAAAAGCGGCTTGTTCTCGGTGCGCCTGGACGCCACTCAGCTTCCGGGCAGCTACAACATGTCTGCGGCAAGCCGACCCACTCGCACAGCTAGACACTGTTTATAAATAGTTAGTTACGTACAGAACACACAGCTGTTGGTCAGTCCAGGCACGCGTGTGTGTGTGAGCCTTCAGTTTAGATAAACTTCATGAATTCAATTTAAGCTCAAATGAATTTTCAGCTAAAAGGAAAGGTACACAAATAATCCCAGAAATGCTATATGCTGTTTATGCATAGAGTTGTGTGTGTGATAGCTAAAGAGGAATAACACAAATATTCAGATATGAAAAGCTTAAAAAGTTACTTGAAGTAGATGCATTTTTGACTGGTAAATCAAGTGAAGGTTCTAGTGATAAATGCAACAGAAAAACTAAGCATAATAAAAAATATAAAGGCAAAAGCTCAGATAGATATTTGATATAGGAATGTTGGGCATAGGCAACTATGGCTAATTCTTTGATTTGTAATCTAAATAATTTATATAAAAGTAATTATAGCTTAATTATAACTTAATCTAAATAATTTATATAAAAGTAATTATAGCCTAGGCTGAGTGTAGTTTGCGTGACCACAAGCTAATCGGGTTAATCCTCAGAAAAGTTCATTAATAGTAGCAAATGTCTCTATACTTTCAGCTGTCATTTGCCCAATAATCTTCAGCTAAAAGCATAAATCAAAGGCGAATAACATTTAATAAACATCTTAATTTAATAATCACATCAAGTTTATGCAGTAAATAATCTACGTGGCAAGGCAAGTCGTAAAACTGTTAAACAGCCTAATCAATTATGCAGTTAAACGTTAAATAAATAAACGTATAAAAGAAAAAGTTTGGCTGAAGCCAGCTGGAATTTGCAGAGCAATTGCTGTGTCACGTAGTTGCCGCTAAGGCTGGGGCCAAGTCAAGTGACAATGTGGCGCGTCCTTTGGGGCCAACAATTTATGGGCGCTGCAATATTTTGCAAATATCCGTAGCATATCCTGCGGCGACAGGGCAGACAAACAACAATGCAATAAATAGTCAAGTGTTTGTTTTTGTCCTCATGGCTGTGTGGCAGCTACGTGTGTGTGTGTGTGTGTGTGTGTGTGTGTGTGTGTGTGTGTGTGTGTGTGTGTGTGTGTGTGTGTGTGTGTGTGTCTGTGTGTGTCGGTACTTGTTGTTTTCGAAGTGTGTCCTTCAATTGACATATTACACTTGTTGTTGGCCTGGTCGCGGCCGCTTTCAATCCTTGCCTGTTTGTTGTTGTCAGTCGCAGACAAAGGCTGCAGACGAGCTTGACCGCTGCCTCCTGTCTCCAGTCTCCAGTCTCCAGTCTCCTGTCTGGCCGGCAGTCCAAGGGGCCGCCTGCTCAAGCAGGCTTCACTTATTGACAGCAGCCCATCGAGCGGTGGGCTAGAATCTAATTGAAGCACGCTCTTTCTCTCCCTCTCTTTGTGTGGAAGCAAAAAATAGAAGATGAAAAAGGGTTAAGTGGCCAATTTAGCTGCGGTTCAATGATTCTTCATTGGCATTAGCCAATTTATTAAAGAACAACAAGTAGCAGCATTTACTGAATTAAGCGCCTAACCAGCTTGAAGGACACCGAAAAATGTCTGCATAATTTCATGGCGCGTACGTAAATTCAGTTATACAACATATATATTTGGCATTTGGCAAAGTTGAGCGCATAACTCAAATGCCTTTTGGCCAAAAATGACCCTCGTTTGGTTTTCTTCTTTTTTTTTTGTTTTGTTTTAGCCAGACCTAAGCAAGCCATGAGCATTTACATAAATTCCAGTCATTGACTTAAACGCACAAACATTTCAATGCATATTTCTACTGACAATACCCTCGAGCGAATATATTTGGTAAAAAAGCGGCGAAGTTGAAGCAGCTTTATTGAATTTGCTTGGTCCGGGCTTAAAGGGATAATATATGCAACTTCTGGCAGAAAGTTTTTATTTGCCCTAACGCCAGCAGCGCCTCAATTGCCAATCAATTTGGCTTTTACTCTCTGCGGGCCATTAAAGCCGACAACTGTTTTCAAGTGACAGTAGAGTGAGTGCGTTTTGACTGGCACATACCCTGTAGTCAGGCTAGTGGAATATCACAAACGTAAGCCTCATCACAGTCTAATATACAGAACAGTTTCGACTTGATTTTGCCTATTTTTATGGAATTATAGACACATTGCTTACCTTTTAAAATGTATGCTCTCAATAGGCATCATGAACAAAGAGCTGCAAATTAATTTAAAAAATCCCTTGAGGCCAAACACACGCACGCAGACCTAGCTGATTATCAATGTAACATTTTTGTTAATACCCTGCACTTGTCGGCAGTGGGTAATGAAGTTGTCTGATTTTTTGCAAGCGACAAAGGCTTGACACCATGAGTAGAGCTCATTGACGTTTCCAACTGAAAATCTATTATCAAATGTTAAATCTTCTACAATCTTTCAACAGCTGAAACACATGAATAGCTCAAAGATCTGCTGTAATATAGCTATCATTAAGTGCTTCACTCTTCTGCGGTCATTGTTTAGAAATCAAGGCTTATAGCTTAGATTTTCAAGCTCATGTGCAAGGCTGGGTATTCCGCAGTTCAACACTGTCTGCTAGAGCACTCTTGTTTTAATTAAAAACAGTTAAAAGACGGCGCCAGTTTCGCGGCTGTCTGTAAAATTTATGAAGCCAGCGGCAAAACGGCCAAAATGGCGCTGCCACAAACAGAAAACGCAACGCACACACACACACACACGAAAGAAAAGGACGTCGGCTAAAGTTGGCAGCCAGAATTTTGTTTGGACCGAAGATTCCAATTAGCTGGGTCATCTACGTTCCGTTTTCCCATCGCGCCTGGTGCGCGTGCCTTTGGCCGCTGTTCAGCCGACATCAAGGTGCACAGCGCGTGCTGCCAATTTTCCCAGAGCTACTCAACATTTCGCAACTTTAGGCTCAAAGGATTTAACCTGTACGTGTGTGCTGCTGCCTGAATTGAATCGGCAGCAGCAAATATCAAAGAGCAGCCACCAGACACTGCGACGTCATTGCAGCCACTTGCCCTGCCCCCTTCAACACAATCAATTGATTTGTGTTTAACGAATCAAGTTTGACTCACTTTTATAACTTTTTTATCTTTTAAATATTTTATATTTATATATTTATATATATATAAATGAATATTCAAAAATATTTAAGTATCAAAATTATATTGAAATTTTATAGGAATTTTTAGTTTTTTCTTTCATTTTATTTATTACAATTATTATTTTTAATTTATAATTTTTTTTTTTAATATTTTTAAGCTAAGCTAAAACTAGAAAAGTTCTTGACTTTGACTTTGACTCTTTTGGAGTAAGCTTCTTTACGTGCTTCACTTCACAATGCCTATTCAAATTTTTTTGAATGCATAGAATAATAGCTTCTATAATTTCTATATCAATATTTCCATATTAGATGCAGCTAAAAGTCATTGAATATATGAATGACCATCGTATATATATATAAATATATAGGTGCAAAAAGCGAAAATGTTTTGAGATATAACGATTCATTTTGAAGTTACATCTTTTCCATTAAATACTCAGAAACACAATTTCTACAGAAAAGTAAATTAAGATAAGTGAAATTTGTTATTCAATTATTTCGAATTCACTTTGTTTGCTAGACTTTAGAGCACTCATTCTTAATTTATTATCAAACGAAAACAATGCTACAAATGCCATTTGTGCATGCAGCAAAATAATCAACTAAATGTGAAGCTTTAAGTATTCGTTCTTCGATTAAATTCCGCTCAATTGAAGAGAAGGACTACGCGTTGCTCTGGCGGACACACTGTCAACTTCCGGCAATCAGTGTGGCGACAAGGATATCCACTTGCCAGCCAGTGGAGCGTTAAATTTACACCGGCAGCAGGCAGCTGGCAGCTGGCAGCTGGCAGCTGCTGCTGCTGCTGCCTCTCGGTTTCAGTTGCATTTGAAGTAAAGGGAAATTCGTTATTTTAACAAAACTGCGAATTTCCGTTTAGCAAATTGCAAAAGAATTATGGCTGAGTGTTCCGACAGACCAGAACAAACCACATTTCTTGCAGTCCACTCGCTGCTGCACTTGAGCCAATTAATAAGATGGAGCGAAGACAAGGCTGGAATAAATGAGTTGAGCTCTTCTATGGATGGCTCAAATTGAAATGGCAGAACTCTGCTCGAGTTCTTAATTCTCAATTGACATGTCTGATCGATTTTTTTGACATATCTGGCCATCTTCTTGGCAGCCACTTGACGGCGATGAACGCAAATTTAATTCCTCCACTTGACGCCCCACAACTACAAGAAGCACATCTGTAAATGACATCCGGAGCACGGTTCAGCTGCTGCTCCTTTTTTGCATTGTTTATTTAATTAATGACTTAATCAATCAGTGAGCGCAAATTAATCATTGCATCAGAATGTCTAATTGAAATTTACTTTCGTCCATTTGTGGCGCCACAAGTTGTACATTAGCAGAGCCACCAGCACCACATTTAGCGACTTGAGGAGCTGCTTCAGCAGCTGACGACGCTGCGCGCTGCAAAAGAAATTCAATTTTAATTGAATACATAATTTAGAAAATATAATTAATTAACCTCATGCCCGCCTCCCCGCAGCTCAAGACAATGCCAGCAAAAGGCGAAAGCTGCAACTGCCGACTCGCACTGCGATTGTTGCCCGCAAGTAAAAAGTCGCTGAAAATAAAAGAAATTACTATTAAAAATTTATTAACAAACGAATTGCCAATGAGTGCTTTCTGTCGCAAATAATGAGGCCAAGCTAATTGCTAATGCTCCATTCTAGTTTCCCAACTTTGTGCTCTTTACCCATCAGAAATGCAAAGGCATTTCTTTAATAACTTTAGCAGACATTTTTTGGCTTAGCAGGACTTACATTTTACTTTGCAAATGGCTGGCTGACAGCTGCCCAAGATCAAAGCATCTCATAATTGACTAGAAAATTACATAATAAAATATACAATTTAAATTGGAATTTTGCAAGCAAAGCAGACAGAAACTCATCAATCGAGCAGAGCAGCATGTAAATTAGAATTGAAAATCGTGTTAGATATAATCGTGATATATATATATATAAGCTGACTAAATATGCAATTAAAATTGCTTAAAAATTTGCTATGCTCATAGGCTGTGCCTGTGCCACAAATGCCCAAAGAAACAGTCGCTTGAGCCACATTTGTCGCTTCATTTATCCAGCTAGCAATCTGCAAAGAGAAAGTGCCATAAACTATTAACAGACACAATCTTTGCCGTTTTAAATGTTTAGTTTAATGCTAACCCAGTTGGCCAGAGTGGCGAAGGCAGCGACGCACTCAACCCAGTTTGTGTAGCAGCAGTTAAACTCTTTGAGCATAGAACAAATTTGATGGCCACGTTTGTAACGTGACAGTTAAGTTTGAGTTCACGATGCGCTATCAAAATGATAGAAAAGTCATGTACTTGCATTTAAGATTTAAGTCAAGATTTAAGAGGTTAATGCCAGAAGAACATTTTGATAATTTTAGCTCAACTTTACTGAATGTGCAACATTTGCAGCTTCAAACTTATTGACGCTTTATGGAAAATGTTCAAATGCTTTCCAGGAGCAAGTTTATGGTCATGGCAAATTGGGCAACGAACATCCTGGGCGCTGCTTCAGCATGCAGTGGCATTTGGAAGTTGAAAACTTTTGATTAAAGTGAACCTTTGTCCGCTTGTCGCACACGCCCCACCCCCGCGCTCGCCTTGGCCACACCCATGGCCATTTGTAAAGCGACAGTTCGCAAATCTGTGCGTTGTGCTTCATAAATCTTCGTGTGTTCGTGCGCCCAGCCACATGAAAAATTATAGGAGCGAGCAAACCAGCAGTGAAAAATAAGCTGCCAAAGACTATTTACTCCTGCATTATATTAGAGTAAAATAAGTTGATGTTTATTTTTCGGTATAAATTTTGTGAGTTTAATAAAACAGAAAAGCCCTCTAAATATTCTAGATAAAATTTAAAATATAATAAATTTGGAATATATTAAAAAATATTTTAATTATTATAATTAAAGTTCATAAAAATTGTAGCCAACCCCATTGGGATCAAAAAGCACATATTTTAATTAATTCATGGAACTGCTAATTATATACCACGTTGAGTATCCCCCACTCTATATCTAGTGACTGGCAGGGCATCTAAATGACTCTATGTTTCGCTTGGGCAAGCTGCCAGAACGAAATGTCAATGGCGACGCCATGGCCAGCAGCTTTCTCTGTGCTCCTTGCGTCGTACGTAAGGAAAGTTGAGATTTTAAAAATTCATTCAGCAATTCGATTCATTAATTTTCAGTTCATTTAATTTTTTATTTATTCAAGCTGGCGGCAATGTCACACGAGCTGCAATTGATGGAACTTTAGAGTCTGGCTCTAGGCTATGCCGCGATCAGCTTGCAGATGAGACCCTCGTGTGGGGCCAGTGTTAGGGCGCTGCTGGATAGGGCTTGCCTGTGGGGTAAGCGGGTAAATGCGGGAGTCACAGGAGTGCAATGCATGCCATGATGAGCCTTACCCTGGCGTATAGACGGAGTCAACGCCCGCCACTTCCACAATCAATTTTTGTGGCCGATTGATAAAGTCTGTTAAGTTTATCAGCTGCTCCTCGGCGCTCACGTTGACGATGGTGACCAGAGTGTCATAGTCCTTAAGGGTACTAAAAAGATAGAGAAATCTGTGTGTAGCTGCCACATGCGCGCCCTAGACACTTACCGCTTGAGGGCAAACACTGCTCGAGACTGCGGCTCGATGCTGAACCTTCCACGTCTTAAGGTCGGCAGCTTGCGCAGCTCAATCAGCGCTTTGTACACCTTGTAGTGACTCTTGGCTGCCTGCTGCTGTGCTGCCAGGTTTAACGCCAAATAGTTTGGATTTACAGGTAGCCAGGTCTTCGCAGCAGTAGAGAAACCTGCCAAGCAGATAGATTAGTTCGCAGCTTGGGTAAATTCATATTCCAATTCACCCGCATTGCTGGCATTGCTCCACTGAAAGGGCGTGCGTTCCGGATCCCGGGAGACCTTTTTGTAATCCTTTTTGCCAGCATTGCGAGCTGGCGGATCGACCGTATCCTCCCACTTAATCTCGCGATAGTCCTCCATGCCCAGCTCCTCGCCCTGCAAGGACGAACGAGCATTAAAACGCAGATGCTCCAATCCTTGACCTTTCGGATGTGGACATACTTACATTATAGGTAACAGCGACGCCGGGCAGTGTCATCAGCAACATGTTCATGGCGTCGACGCTGGCGGCACCGAAGCGCGAGGCGACACGCGGATTATCGTGGTTGCCCATGACCCAGTTGGCAGCGTGCCCGCGCGGCATGTAGATCAGCCACTTCTCCACATTGTAAACGAAGTCACGGGCATCCGAGTCGCCATTCACATCCGTGATAAAGTGAAAGTTGAAGGGCAGCTGGGAGCCCCGCACGCCGTCGGCACTCTCATAGTAATCCATGAGCACATGCAGGTCAGCATATGCCTCGGTCATCATGATGCGCGTCACTCCATCCGGATGCTTGGCGCTGTAATCGTCCAGTAGCTGGCGCCAGTGCTGCACCATAGTCAGCACCTCGGGCAAATCCTTGGTGAAGACGTGCTTCGTGTAGTCATACGAGAGTGGATCCGCCGTCTTGCCACTGAGCGGCTCATCAGCCAGGTCCTCGCTTTCATACAAATGATTCACTGCATCTATGCGAAAGCCAGCCACGCCTTTGTCCAGCCAGAAGCGCACCACATCATCCATGGCCTGCACCACAGCCGGATTGCGGTAGTTCAGATCCGGCTGCTCCTTGGTAAACTGATGCAAATAGTATTGCTGTCGTTGCTCGTTCCACTCCCAGGCGGAGCCATAGAACACAGATTGCCAATTGTTTGGAGGCTGACGCACTCCCAGCTTATCCTTCTTTCCATCTTCCCAGACATAGAAATTCTCATAGACAGGATCCCGAGCTGCCGACTTTTTGAACCACTCATGCTGATCCGAGCTGTGATTGGGCACAAAGTCCAAGATGATCTTGATGCCCAGACCGGAGGCCGCATGCACCAGCTGCTCAAAGTCCGCCATGCTTCCATATTCCGGCTGTATGGCCTTATAGTCCGATATGTCATAGCCAAAGTCGACCATGGGTGACTGGAAAATGGGACTCAGCCAAGTAGCTGTAATGCCTGTCTCAGCCAAATACGGCAGCTTCGATATGATGCCCTGCAAGTCCCCAATGCCATCGCCGTTGCTGTCCTTAAAGGATCTGGGGTAGATCTGATAGAAGACCGCGTGCTGCCACCAGTCAATAAAATCCTCCGTTTGACTGCCTACCAAGCTGGACATGCTCAGACTGGGCGCCTGTATCGACAGCAGGCTGCAAATTAGAAGGAGTTGGGTTGTTCGATTTAACTGTTGCGCTGCGACCATGTTGACTACAGCGACTACTGCTGTGTGTCGAATAGAATCTGGTTTTAAAGGGTTGTTTCCAAATTGCTCGCTGTGCAATTATTATAATTTCGAAAGCTCATTAACTCTTAATAAAGCACATCTGATTATTGATAATTGAAATCGGGAAAACAAAATATAAAGTCCAATTACAAACCGAATTAAATTCTGTATAATATCGGTATATAATTTAATTGTGTAATATATACAAAATATATATTGAATTTAATTTTATTGAATTTAAGCAGCATACCATCCTATGTCAGCATAAAGAGAGACTATGAGTTCTTAGTAGGAATAATCTTTTTACTCATCTCTCTCTTTTAATTATTCTTTGCGCTACTTGTGCTCCTTGGCTCGCTCTCTCTCTCTCTCTCATACCATATACCATACCATATACGAAAGCTACGACAGCAATCATGTCTCTTTCTGCCTCTCTCATTACCTACCTCAAAAGTTACGCTCCACAAAATATGCAAACACAAACAAAAAGAAATTTCAGCCTTTTTGTTCGCAACACGTCACTACGCCTTCAGTTGCCGTGATCAACTGAAAGCTGTGAGAGCTGTATGCGGCGCAGCTGATAAATGCATGCACAAGCTTACGATCCACTTAACATCCACAGCGTTGCTCACAGCCTCCACCACGCCAATATTAAACAAAAAAGGGCTTTTAATTAAGCTCAACAACAAATTTATCTATAGCTGCCCAGCCGCGTTGACAGTTATGAAATATATTTTGGCGAAAATGCGCTGACAGCGACAACGAACGAAACAGTGGGCGGGAATGGGGCGCTGGGTGGGCACAACAGCAAGTGCTCGCAATTCAATTAAAACGTGCCAAACGCTTTTAAGTGTAAATAAGCAATGAAAATTGTAATTAAATTGCAATTCAAATGAATTTTAAATTATAAATAATGGTTGAGAGTAAAATAATACAATAAATTTGCAATTTGAAGACTCTCTTTAGATTGCTTACCTTTAAAAAAAAATAGTTTATTGTATTCACAATGTTTTTGTTTCATAACCAAAACATGATCAGTCCCAGAGTCGAGTCATATGACTCTGCGATAATCTTACCTGATCTATTACCAGGAAAAATTTAATAGCCAAATTATTTATATGACAAGCCGAAGATTTAAAGGTTATCTGGAGTCTTAGCTTGAAAATATTTATAATAATAATAATAATCATAAAGCCATGAAACAGAAACAGCATTCAAGAACCTTCCAAATGTCTTTTTATTTCCTATATTCCCATTAATTCGAACATTTCAGAAGACTTTGATACATTTTTGATAATAACCTTTATTTGTAGCCCTCGCAATATGTTCAGTTACTTGCTAGGCCTAAGCTGTATAACTAGACCCTCATGGGGTGACAATCTGATTTCAGCTGGCTTGAGACGCTCGCCCACTCGGTACTGGGAGTTGACTCCGACAACGAGAAGGGTCAGACGATTGGGTAAATCGATAAAGTTGCTCACATCGACTTGCTGGGTGCGATTGCTCACATTCACGACGGTCAACAGGCTGGGCTGGCCCTTCAGCTCGCTGTAATACACACAGAGGCAGAGGCACAGCAGTAGATGGTAATCCCAGCATCAAGAGTGGAGTCCACTTACCGCTTGAGTGCAAACACACGTCGATTCAGAGCCTGGGCTGTGTATGTGCCGTCCTTTAGCACCTTCGAGCTCCTCAGCTTGATCAGCGACTGGTAGACCTTATAGTGGCTAGACGGAGCCAGCTGCTGATTGACGAGATTCAGCTCCTCATAGTTCGGGTGGACAGGCAGCCAGGTGGAATCGGCCGTGGAGAAGCCAGCATTCTTCTCATCGCTCCACTGCATGGGCGTGCGCTCGGGATCGCGTGAAACCCACTTGTAGTTCTCCTCACCAGCCTCACATGCGGGCTGATCCACTGTATCGTTCCAGCTAATGTCACGATAGTCCTCCATGCCCAGCTCCTCGCCCTAAACAAGAAACCAGAAATCAAATAGAAAGACAGTCCCAAGCACATCCCGACCGCTTACATTGTAGGTAATCCCAATGCCCGGGAGAGTCATCAGTAGCATATTCATGGCGTCCACTGATTGCGCGCCATAGCGGGAAGCAACGCGCGGATTGTCGTGATTGCCCATGACCCAGTTGGCTGCGTGTCCAGGCGGCATGTAGATCAACCATCTCTGAATATAGAAGACGAAATCCTGCGCCGTAGACTCCGCATTCAGCTCGGTTATGAAGTCGAAGTTGAAGGGAAAATTGGCGCCCTGCACGCCATTCTCATCCTCGTAGTAGTCCATCAGTTGCGACAGCTCCGCATAGCCCTCGGTCATCATAATGCGCGCTGGACCCGGATTCTTGACCGTATAGTCGTCGAGCAGTTTCCGCCAGTGCTGAATTAGACCGTAGCATTCCTCTTGATTCCTTGTGTAGATGTGGTCCAGATAATCAACGGAGTTGGCATCGGCTGTTTTGCCACTCAAGGGCTCGTCGCGGAGCTTTTCATCCTCGTAGACATAGATGACGGCATCGATACGGAAGCCGGACACGCCCCTTTTCAGCCAGTACAACAGAACAGCGTCCATGGCCTGCAGCACAGCCGGATTGCGATAGTTCAGATCGGGCTGTCCCTTGGTGAATTGACGCAGATAATATTGTTTGCGCTCGTCGTGCCATTCCCAGGCGGAGCCAGAGAACACAGACACCCAATTGTTGGGCGGTGCACGCTCCTCGCCGCCTTCACCCGGCTTGGCATCTTCCCACACATAGAAATCCTCGTAGCCAGGCACTCGAGCAGCGGACTTCTTGAACCATTCGTGCTGATCGGAGGAGTGATTGGGCACAAAGTCGAGTATGACCTTAATGCCCAGCTTGGTGGCGGTGGCGATCAGCTCGTCAAAGTCGTCCAAGGTGCCGTAGTCCGGATGAATGTCCCTGTAGTCAGAGATGTCGTAGCCAAAGTCAACCATGGGCGACCTGTAAATGGGACTCAGCCAAATGGCCGTGATGCCTGTCTCCACGAAGTACGACAGCTTGGAGGTGATGCCCTTAAGATCGCCGATGCCATCGCCGTTGCTGTCCATGAAGGATCTGGGATAGATCTGATAGAAGACCTCATGGCGCCACCAGTTCTCGTCCTGTTCCTTCGCCTTGTTCTTGGCCGAATCGGCTTGCGTCCCGGCAAGCAGCCAGCACAAGCACGCAACTAGGCTTAATAGTTTCCGAGCCATCGCAACTCCTTGAAGTTGCGAATGTATTTTGTTGCATCCGCTGGCCATTAGCTGCTTTTATAGCCCCGGTTTGATTATTTACTGTAGATTAGATCGCAACTCAAATATTGTACCAGATGGCCAGTGCGCGGTCGGCAGTTATTACATTGTATATATGGCTATAACGGTATTAGTTGGCTTACACAAGGGCCAACTGACCAAACAGTGCAGTTGACATTAAAGCTGGCGACCTTTGTGAGCTGCACATTCTGGACTAGGACAACATCCGAGTAGAATATTAAGTTGTTGTTCTGCTGTTTGTGTTGCTCGAAAGAATGGGAAAAAGTAAATAAACGTTTGACTATTAATACTGCCTGACTAGAAGATACCCTGCTTTAAGCTTGGTTGAGACTGCATTCTATATGTATAAAAATTTGTATGTTCTTCAATATATCTGAAGAATCATATGATAAATTTAAGAAATTGACATATTTTATAAGAAAGTGTCTCTTTGCCACAAGAGACCCTAGGCAGCTGTAGCTAATGTGGCATCATAAGATTTCTGGTCTAAAATAAAAATCATCTTTAGTCTTCATCTACTCATACTTCTGTGCATATACACTTAAGAACCAATATACCCGCCTCCACACACACACAATGTGTGCAGCTTATATAAAAGTAAACAACTTCCGCTGTGGCTAAGCTCAAACTTGATAATTGCCTTTGACAAAAACAATTAACAAGTTGCAGAGAAACTTTTTTGGCTGCCATCATCCACAGGGCACGCGCAGTTTTTGTCTAATTAATCAATTATTCAACATTTCAGCTGCAATTCTGAATATTTTTTCACATCTAAATGCAATTGCCACAATTTAGAGGCCACAGCCAGCTCGGCTTTCGGCTAGTCTGCAAATATTTGGTTTTAGTTTTAGTTGAATGGAGCTGCTGTTGTCCGAAATTTTAAGGAGCTCTGTGAGCGAAACATTCTCATTTTTACCAGAATTTTATATTAGTATAACTCATGGAATATTTAATGCAGTCAATCAGTTATGCCTGATTGTCACATCATTTTTAAAATGAACAAATTTATGAAGAACGCATTTTTGGCATGCTTTATCTAATAGCAAAAATAGTAAATAATATTACTAGACTTGCCTATACCCTTTAGTGACTATTTTTAGCCTTTTAGCTGTTAAAACTTTAGGCCAACAAATTGTTTAAGTATATTAAATATTAAATATATTATATTATTTAAGTTAATTTTGATTCAATTTATATACTTAATTTTTAGCCTTTTAACTGTTAAAACTTTAGGCCAACAAATTGTTTAAGTATATTAAATATTTAAATATATTTATATTTTATTATTTAAGTTCATTTGATTCAAATTATATACTTAATCTTAGGAGCTTCATTGAGCTTCCTATAATTAATTAAATTTGATAATCTGAAAAAATTAGTGTATTATAAATATATATATATAAATATATTATTGATAATCTGAAAAAATTAATATATTATAAATATATATATATATAAATATATTATTATCATTTATATGCTTCAAAAGTGAACAAATTTATTTAATAATTAATTAGCATTTTTATTTACTTCGAATATTTTACTAAACTTGTTTTTATTTATATTTATACAAATGTTTCTTTAGTTTCCTACATAAGTCAAATATTTGTTAAACGATCAAAACAAACAGATCTTGCTTGCCTCTAAGATACCCTATAGTTATAACTTTAACTTACACTCAGCTTGACTTTGATTATGTATTATTATGAAGCACCTTTCTATATTCTCACTGCCTAAAAGTGCTCTAAAAATATTTATGATATGGTAAATTCCATCTATAACTTCGCATTCCTCTTGAATTTGAAGTTGCTTTCAGTGCAGGCTAAGCTATCGCTGGGCTATGCAAAATATTCAGAGACTTTGGCGACCTTACACGGGTTTTCAGCGTCCTTTCTTTTTGGGTTTTATCAGATTGTTTGTCGTGCTGTCACGTCGGCTTTCGCGCATCTCTCGCCACTTAGCACGTTGCATTTTCATTTCGTGCACCTTCCACTGCCCACTTCCGCTGCGTGGAAAAATGGAAAAATGGAAGCCCGCCGCTTCCGCGCCGATTCGCACATAAAGTGCAACGGACGTGCGAAGGGCACGCCCCTTTTTCGGTTGGCTTCTGGTTGGCTAATTAAAACATGTTGCAACATTGTTGTTCAGCAGCCGCTGTTTGCATAATATAGCACCAGCTGCCTAGGGCCTAGGTGCACATGAGAGCAGCACATGGACTGTTTGGAGACTGGAAAAATGTGGAAAATGTTGTGCAAATATATGCAAAATAACTTCGCATCAAGACCTAAACTCTTTCGTGCTAACCCCGAATCATTTGCAGCATTTTGTTATGCAACTTATTAAATTCCGTTGAAAATCGTTGAATTGACGTGAAAAGGGTTTGACACTTCATTTGGAGCTGTGCTGGGCGAGGGAGGAGGCGTGCTGCAAGTGCTTTACACGTGTGCCAGCCTACCGATTTTCATGTATTTAAAATACTTTTCGATCGGCCAGGTTCAATTTGAAAAAATAAACTTTATTTGTCGAGCACAGCCTACTAATCCAACCTGTCGCCTGTCCGTCCGTCCGTCCGTCCGTCCGTCTGCCTGTCTGTCAGTCAGGCTGTCAGTCTGTGTGTCTGTCAGGGCGCCTGGCGTTGGCTTACCTTGATGTCGTACACTGATTGAATTGCGTTGGAAAACGACAAAAAAAACAACGTCAAACACACACACACACACACACACACAACAGGAAATTCTTTATGCCCAGATCGGACCCTTGCCAAGGAATTTTCGGGGCACTTTTCCATTTTTATTTATTTCTTTCCGTTTTTTTGGAGGCCCGGATCCCAGCGGCCGCAGCCACATGAATAAATAGCAGCCTACGAGTACATATTTTAATATGTAAATATTTAATAATATCAAAGCAACGCGAGCTTGGCATATTAAAACCCAGCCGGCATCAACAGCCGAAGAAAATACTCTGATTAATTCGTTGCGGGTATCTGATTCATATTTAATACACGCTCCACAAACATATGCTCAGGTCTAATAAACAAGTAACTTGTAGTCCTTATAGCTCAAAATGAAAGAAAAAAAATATATTAAACAAATTGAAATTCGAATTGCAATTTCTTTGATTTTTGTAAAGGGTTTTGGATGCCTTCTAAACTAATTGACATGGAACAAATATAGCCTGCAACCTATTTATTGGTATTATTTTTATATATCTATAGATATACATATATTTACTTACTTATATATAGATTGATTAGCAAAGACTGGCCCAGGCACAGGCACAGGCACAGCGTAAACAACAACTAAATAAAATAATAAAATTCTTATTCAAGCTGCTCCAGCTGCGGGGAGTATCACACTAAGAGTTAGAGAAAGATTGATTGAGATTAAATTTTCTGATATAAAATAAATACAATACAATTTTTTAATCCCTTTCAAATCAATTTAAAATCAAGTTGTAAAGAAAAATAAATTTAAAAAAATCACTTTAAATGCAATTTATTATCTTTATCATATTTTTTGCTGAATAATATTTGTTGTTTGTAATTCAAATTTTATTCTATTAAATTTTAATATATTTTTTGAATATCAAATAATTTTTTATCTTAAAAAAACCAGCTTTGTACTGGCAAAAGCAATTTATATGCGCATTTATTACCAAACAAATCCAACAACAAGGAAAAGTAGAGTAAAGGCAAGGGTTTAAAGAGTTGGCTGATTGACAATTGACATTCCTTGACCTTCAAGATATGCCGTGTGATATAGCATAAGAATATACATATATTTTATGCTCTAACAAATTGATTGAATCAATTTTGATTGTCTGCAGTTGATGTTGGTGTCTTAATGTCAGCTAGGGTATTGAACAGTCGGTCCTTTGCTGTTTGTATTAGAATTTGGTTCGCTCCCGTTTCATATCTATTTGCTCGCATTTTATTCAGCTCCGACAACCCTTAAGCGTCAGCAAATTGGTTCAGTTCCATTCTAAGGCACACGGTAGATTCGTGTTTTGATTGGTATTTGCGTAGCCATTTGATGTCGTGAATAGGTTTACGCTTATCAAATACTTGTTATCAAAATCGATTGCAACAACAGCAACAACAACAACTACAACTACGAACCAGCTTTGTTGTCATTCGTACAGATTGCTAATGTGTATTACAGGATTCGCTGAGGTCTATACTAAGTAGCTATTTATTGATGCCATACGCTTGTATTCGTTGTTGTACTTTATCGCATCGCATTTACCTCGATGAATTAGTACTAATCTATGCATATAAGTCGCTTGAACTAAGATTATATTTATTAAATATGGAAGCTCATATGAAAGTACTCGAGCTAAACAAGCTTAAGTCAATGCAATTTGTCTCTGTGTTTCCATAAGCACATGAATAAATAATCATTAAATACTTTAGTCACACATGCATTAAACCATTTGTGTGTTATCCAAAAAGTAGGCAGCAAAAAGTGTTGATGGAAAGTTTTTTATTGAGAAGAAAATTTGAAAGGGGGTTTATATAAATATAAATATATATATTATAAAATAAATATAATTTAAATATAATATAATAATATACATAAATATATATATATATATATATATATATACATATATATAACTGCATCTAATTTAATAAAGCTAAGCTGTTGCTCAACTGTTACTAATTACAAAAAATCCGCAAAGCTTGGCAAAAATTCAAATTCAATATAACTAAGATAAGTAAGTAACATTTCTAAATGTTGCTCAGTTGATTTATTGCATTTCAGTTAGCTTATATGGAATATGGCTATTTGAAGATTTTGACAATTCCTTAATTTGCTTGTCAACTGTTTGGCTTGAGCCTTAGATATTTATATTTATATAAATCATGAATATTTGATATAAAAATTTATATAAAATAGCAGCAAAAAAAAATACATTGAATATATTCATTAATTTTTATTAAATAATTTTAATATATTTAGGTGAACTTTCTTTACATAGATTTCAAAGTCAATATTTATTAAAATTTTTATTTAATGAATAGTTTATGTAAGGCCTTATATTATTTAGTGCTAAGGAGAACAGAGCTCAAGGCATTTTCCTCTCCTTTTTTATAGACATTTGCAGTTATTGGAAACAAATATTAATATTTTAAAATATGATTTGAGAGAAGTATCAGAAAGAAATTCTCTAAAATAAAACTAGATTCAGGCAGAGCCAATAAATTACCTCTGGAATAAACAAGTCATAGCAGTAAGTGTGAAAGGAAAGATATTTGTAAACACATAGATGGGTATGGTATGCATAGGTAGATGCCATATCCATGATCCCCAGGCAGTTTTTACTTGTTTTTGAACAGTGTTGAGCCGTGAGTACACAGAGATAAAAGCACATGTCATCAGGCGAGTCGACAGCGCATTATCTTTTTAATAACATTCCCCTCATTTAACGCGGCTGACAGCTTCCTGTCATAAAACAAACGGTAGTCCCGTTAGACGTTGCCCTGCTCGGCCCGTTCGAAATATGCTGCACGGTGGCAGTCGAGCAATTTGGCATTCGTGTCGCACGTATCGCGATTCAATTAACGAAAGCGTAATGCAGTTCATAAATCACAGTCCAGAAATCCAGAAACGACAAACGCTGCAGGCAGCTGCCTCTCGATTAATTATGCACAATTTGATTGATGTGCGAGAGGCGAGTGCTTAAGCGACGCGTCGAATTCGCTCTCCCACTCATATCAACGGCAACGCCACGCCAATGAGCTCAGACAAACTGATGACGTAGTCGTTGATACTTTTAATTAGCGTTTAATGGCAACATTTGCATACGTCGATACGCTTCAGCGCAGCTCAATGAGAGCGGCTATCAGACTAGGTGCAATTAAACGTGTTTCCACTTTTCGGCACATCCATCAATTTCTGCACTTTGCATAAATATCGATAATTGATTTAAGCCTAACGAGAGATGCTACAGAGAATGCTTTAAAACTAGCTTTAGCTTGAAATGTTTTAAAATTGAGGAATAACGATTTCTGCTTATAGTGGAAATAGTCTAGAAGCTATAGAATATATATAAATGAGAAGAAAAAGAAAACAAATGGAAAATAATATATATGTGAGACTTATTCAATATCGATAACGATAACGATAAGTTCAATATATGCTCAAATATAGTTATCGGAAATAGAATCCCCTGCTCAAGTGGAAACACTGTAAAAATCATTTAAAAAGTATATTACATAATTGCATATAAAAAAAGTGTATTTAAAAGTAAAACATAAATGAGAAACATTTTTATAATTTATATAAAAAATGTGTGAAATATATAAGAAATATTTTTACAATAAATTCTATATATATATATATATATATCTCATGGAAACAGAATCAAAAACAATGCAATAACAAAACGAATTGTAAATAAAAACAGTTGAAAATCTTAATAATATTCTCGTAATTAGATATATTTAGAAAGACTTGATTGAAGCTGCCTTAGCAAGGTCCCATAGACCGTATGTCGAGCTTGCGACCCAATTGCTTGTAGTCCCGCTGGGTGCATTCAAATTCACAGCGATTCGTATAGGTAATGCCGTTGGTGCCGCACACCTCTATCTTCTCTTTGAGGTTGCAGGAACAAAAGCTGGCCTCACTTTGACCCAACCAGACGACAGCCAGAACAAAGCTGAGCACCAGAAGCAAACTCAAAGATTTCATCTTCACTTTCAGCTAATTAAACAGCAGCGGCAAACGAAAAAAATGAACTTCAAGTGCCTGCGAAATACGACGAGATTCTAAAAGATTTGATGAGATGCGACGCAATACTTGACGAGTCGAGCGTTGAGTTTGCACTGAGCGTCGAAAGCAAAGCAAATGAAATAATGTTAACTGGAAAGAGCGCGTTGCGGGGAATGGGGACTGAGTCAAGTACGTCGTATCTGAGTATGCGTCAGTTTTGCTAATTAGTCAACATCAGTTTGCTGACTGTTTCTGATTGTGATTGTGTGTGTGTGTCTGTGTGTGTGTGTGTGGGCTTCCACTTAAAAACAAAAACATCTGCGGCTCCTGGTCTATCAAAACTTTGCAGTGCTCGTCTCATTGAAATTGTTTAGCGTTGGGTTTGCATGGCCTTTGCGCGCCTCCAACAATTTGCAGGGCTGGCAATTGATGGCGGCCTCCACCTGAGGCGTGCCACACCAGCTATGCAGCCAGAGGAGCACCAGCAGCAGCAGCATTACCAGGCGGGCAGCCCAAAGACTCGAAATGCGCATGGCTATGCCAATTTTGTAACTAAGTAGAAAAAGTTATCGTGTGCTCAGTCTGATTTCCCCAGTGACCGAGCTCTACAAATTGAGTGAATTACTATCAAAAGTACTTAGTTGGACAACAAAAGAGTGCGCAAATTGACATCAAAATAAATTAGAATATATACGCGATAAATATGGCATTCCATTAATTGAAATTGAAATTGAAATGGAAATGGAAATGGAAATTGATGTCGGCGAGTGCCTTGAGTGCCATCATTAACACAACAACTAACTGAGGTACTATTATTATAGCCAAATGACTTTTCCCCACCTGCCGATTATCAAGGGCTTTGCCACGATCGGAGCAACCAATGCGCACCTTTTTAAAAGTGTCAATGCTGATAAGAAGACGGAAGAGCAAGTGTGAAACGTGAGAGAGAAAGAGAGATAGAGAGAGAGAACGCTTAGACTGCTATTAGAGATGGGCGCGTGAGCATAAACCAATAGCTTGTAAACAAACTATAATGAAAAAGCTTTAGAAGAGCTAAGCTAAGATACATTTTCATATACAAAATCATTAATAATCATTTTATTATTTAATTCTATTTGCTATACAGACTGATCCAAAAAGCATGAATGGTTTCATTAGGAATGCCTTAAGTATAAATTGCACTTATGTATAACGTGCTACACCAAGGACTGAAATCAGTTTTAGTTATTTTTACTTGAGTTTACTTAATTCTATGATACTAAGACAATTAACATATCAGTTCCAATGTCTAGTTGCACTTCAGTTCGATTAATATCGAATCAGTTCACAAGCTTCCGTTATCTAAGTCGCCACGTACGCATCACTAAGGCACAATTAGAGCTTGTGAGAGAGCTTGTGAGAGAGCTTTTGAGAATGCATTTAGTTGGCAACGCGAAGAACTGCTCAAAGCAGCAGCTGCTTATCATTGATAAAAAAACTACGTTTGTTAATAACAACAATCGGAAAACGACAAATAAATAATAATAATTAGTAAATTCTCAAATGAAAAACAACAAATTTTGCGCAGAAAGCTCGACAAAAATATTTAAAGCAGTAAAATGAAAAAGAGAGAAAAACCCAAACTACAAACCACCTGCGATAAGATAAGAGCTCTGCATACCAACGAGCCGGCGAAACTGGCCCAGCCAAAACAACAACCCAATTGTCAGTATCAATATTGAGTAGCTAGTGGATTAACCTGCTGAACGAATACGATGAAATACAATTTATTGCTGTTGGCCCTGTGCCTGCTGTTGGCTGCATTCGTGAGCGCCGATCTGGATGACGAAAAGTTTGCAATACCGAAAAGGATTTGCCCATGTCCTCGCAACTACGATCCTGTCTGTGCCAGCAACTTGATCTCCTATCCAAATCGCTGTCTCTACGACTGCGCTCGTCGCGAACTTGAGCGGGCTGGACGCAGCTTGGATTTGCTGAGATCGGGAGACTGCTAGGCAGACTTCCATGCAAATCTGTCAACTTTAACAAGAATTTATATAAAAAAATATAAAAAAAAATAAACGAAATAATATTGCTCAATTGTGTTAAGGCTGTGCTGAATCATCGATGGGGGAATATAAATGTATTTGTGTAATATTATTGCTTATCAGCAGAAGCCACACCAAGTGCCCATTGATAGTGACTAACTTTATCTCTTCAATGTATAAACAGTTATAAATCAGAGGACAAAGCACTTCAAATACACAAGGCTGACAGGCGTTCGTGAACCACTGATTCAGTGAACTCATTGTTCACAAACAAAAACCGTTAAAATGGAACGAAATTCGATCAAATTTCGAAATTAAACTTAATACATGGGAATATATCTTATAAAATCAATTTCTTTGCAATGTTTAGAATTAAATTTCTCTTGATAATTTATTTTTTTTAATAATATATACACATAGTTATAATACATATAAAAAATGAAATGTATTAAATATTTGTATGCATTTAAAAAAATTAATTTGAATTTTAACAAGTAATTTGGCAGCTCTTTTGTTCAGTTATCTTTCAAATGAAGGCTTATAATTTGTTCTAACTACGTTTTTCCATGATAACATCGAAGACACGTCACAGTTTCTTCGGCTACTCCCCTTGTTGCCCTGTTTTAATTTAAATATTATTGCTAGAATTTGTTCCACTTTTGTGTATCAGCTAAGCAGTTGAGTAAATAAGCCGAAGGTTCTACTTTTCTAGTTTTAACATTTACTCATGATTGAGCTCCGATTTGCTGCTGCGTAGATCGCAGCCAGAGCTTTAGGGGAACTTCCTGCACACGATCTTACAGATAATTAAACTTGAAGTTAAAAATCACATTCAAGTGTTATACTATAACTACGATACGTAAATATTATAATTAGCTGGCTGTTGTACTACTTGCGTAAGCTTCTAATACGCTACAATTATAATTGCAACCGTTAAATCTGTTGACAGCCACAAAAAATGGCTTACGTAAGGAAATCATTTCACTTAAAACACTTTTACACAATCTAATGCCTCTTTGAGAGCTGAACTTAGAGAGAGAGATTATTGCAATAGTCGGAAAAATATTTAATAAAATTATTAAATTCGATTCACATTTTTGGCCTGTAAAATTTCATGCCTATGCAGACTCTAAAAGCGTTTAATTTTCACTTGAGTCAAGACGATATTCATTACTTTCCGAGCTCTATTAGCAATTAGCCTATTAATAATCAATACAAATAATTAAATTGAAAATGGTTTAAAGAAGTTTGACTGCCAAATTAGTCGATATACAGAAAGCCTTTTGTCTAACAAACAACAACAAATATCTAAACTAAGAGAAACGAAAGAAGCCAGCTGAACTTTCATATATTATAATGCTGCTAGCTATACAGAGATGATCAGAAACCCTAAAACTCAACTCAGCTAGACTTTCCTATCATTGGAGAATCAAAAAATCTGTGTCTGCTTTCTCAGAAACTAGAGACTTCCAGCTAAAAGTCTTATTTGTTAACGATTCACTCGGAAAATCTGTGTATTTCCATTGAAAATTAATATCAAGGGAATAAATTTGATGCACATTTGACCGAAGAAGAAAATAATCAACAAGGAAAGCGATTACATTTTGCAATGTTTATTCAGCTTAAAATCTAAATTGAATTCACATTTTATGGGGCGGGGTGCATGCCCCATACTTTACGATGCCCAGCGGAATATCCTCTGTTCCAGCATTCTTACTGGCACAATCTAGTAAGCATGGATGGGCATATGTGATGGCATCGCTGCCGCAAACCATCTGCAACAGGCGTGGACATTTACAGAGACCAAGTTCAGCTTTAGTGACAGCGCTGGGCACCAGGCTGTGGGCGGCAACAGCAAATAACCGCATAACGATCAATTCTTGGCGACTGATGGAAGGAGAGTGGCACTTGCCGCTCTTCAGGCTCTATTACCAAGCTACCCTTCAATAATCAATCCATGGGAGGAGAGTGCCTGACTTCCATAGAAGAGAGTACCTGACTAGCAACTACCCTGCATAGCATATCCTTAACAGCAGATATTAAGTTAAGGAAAGGCGAATAAAGTCAACTTTATTAACAATCGAATCAAAACGAGAAATAGTATTTGCCCGTTGATCATAAATATTACTCATCAAATAATCAGCAAGAAATACGTGTTTATTTAGCTTAAGATATGAAGTAAACTTGATAATACGTTTCACATTTGAAGCCCGTTTAATCTTATGTCTAACAGCGACCCGCTTTGACTTGAGTCAGAACCTGGCCATTGCGCGCAGCGCGCTTAGCGATGCAGTTTAGCTCGCACGGATTGGGATATGTTACGCCATCGCTGCCGCAGACCGTGTCCAAGTGCCGGGGACAGGCACAGATTTCCTCTGGTCCCTTGGCGGCGGCGAGACCAAGCAGGGCCAACAGGCAGAAAGCGATAAGAGCCAAAAAACGCATACTGATTAGAGCCAGGTGTCTGAACGACTGGTTAGACAATACTGAAGCTACACACAGATACTGGCTTTATTTTATATTCGAGTTGATAAAAGCCGAATGCGAAACAACAGCAGTTGCACAGTTCCCCGAGCAATTCGACAACAATTAGCCAACAATTCGTCGATAATTAACATGACAATCAAGTCGGAAGTGTCCGACTAGCAGATACTCCGACCAACATATCCTTCAAAAAGGAAGAATTATTAAAATAAATATATAAATATGTGACATATTTATATATTTATTTTAATAATTAGCTGAAAGCTTTTTGATTACATCTGAACTCTAATTTTTTAGTCAGTTCTGCTTTGGAATAACTAATTTGTATGACTAAATCTAATCTTACGTACAACTCTAACAAGCTATTATTAGCTAAGCTATCACTGAAACAAGTTTTGACCCAATCAACAAGCGTTTCAGCTGCTTTATGCCTGCTCACAAGTTTTATATACTTTTACTACCCATAGAAACAAATACTATCCGTGATGAATTTATAGATAAGTGTCTATCTGCAGCTTTAAATCATTTAAGCAATTTAATAATAAATATTATGAGAAACCTTAAAACTCAACTCAACTAGAATTGCACATCAAATGCTACTTAGTAGAGTAGAATGTAAAAAAAAGAATTTCTCCTCTCTCAGAGACCCCTTCAGCTAGAGGCAGTCTCATTTGTTAGCGATTCAATTCAAATATGAGCACACTTAAGGTGTAAATTATATTCACATTGCAGTGCTTGAACAAGTGTTTACTAAGCTGTCATAATTCAGTTTAAGTTTTAACTATATGAGCTAATAAATAAATCCTAAATCTAAAATTTTGCTAACTTTGCTACCATGATTCCTCTGTAATGATATATGAAATGCCATCGCTGCCGCAGAAACAGTTAACAGCTGCGCTGACAGTGCTAAGAGCGTTCAGGGCCAATAGGCTGAGGGCTTTAACAAATAAGAACCGCATAGCAATTAAATCTGGCGACAGCTTAGAGAAGACTAAATTGCTATAATTTGGCATTTGACATTTGAAATCTCTCAATTTTATTTGTTTAACAAAAAATCTCAATTTTATAATGTAATCAACATGAAGTGGGAATAATTTTATTGCGAGTGGGCGTGGAACTACCTTATAGCAGGTGAGGCATAAATACCTAAATATCAAAGCTTAAAGGCGCAGGCTCCAGCCATTGACTTTAGTTTACATATTATCTATGAACTTAATATATACTAAAACTAAAATCGAATAAATAGTTCTTTTGTATTTTTCAATCACAATCAGCTGGGCAAAGCAGTTAGACTCTTTGATAGACGAAACGAAATTTATATATATTTAGATAAGTCTAATCAATCGAGTTGAAAGTTGTGACTCATTATGTATTTAAAAAAAAATAAATACTTCTTAAACTGATTAGTCAACTTGAGAGCATATGAAAGTTTTTGGCAGTTCTTTAATCAGCACTTGAAGTGATTAAATAGATGATGAAATAAAAAAATAAATAATTTAACTAAATAAGTATTTTATATATATACAAATATATATTCAAATTCTAATATATATTCAAATAATTAACATTTTTTCTGTCTATTTAACGCCGTAACAACAACAATAATAATAGCTGTGTAGCACAGAGAGTGCCCAACGCAGAAATACCCTGCACCAGATACTTGTTAAAGGTATAAAATCCCAACTCTGCTAGGCAATAGAACTAGCTAATTTGATTTAAGTAACAACTAGCATCGTGACTAAATCTTAATTACAATTGTATTATTATGCGACTATATATGAATAATTGATTTTTTCTAAATTCAATTTCTGACCTAGGCTTTCATGCTGATTAAAATTCATCTTTAGCATTTTTCTAATGCACTCAAACACAAAGCCTTTCTAATACAATAGCTGCCGTCGACCCTCTCGTTTCCCCAAATGTTATATAACAATGAGATTTGGCTAAAAGGGCTGCTGGTGGATGGGCACTCAAAGACATATGTTTTTATTGGGCCGTAGGGGAACCTGTTGAAGGGCGATTCGTAAATTGTACAAGGAAAAGGAAAAATTAATTTTCTAATGTAATTTTGCATATATATTCTCTGATACTTACAGTTGCCAGCACGCCGGAGAGTCTGCCAACTAAACGTGAGGAGCCAAGCGCCGGTTCAGGTGCAGTTGCAGGTGCAGGTGCGGGTGGCAGCAGCAGCAGCGTAGGTAGCGGTGGCAGCAGCGGTATTGGAGCTGCGGCAAGTGGTGGTGGTGGTGGTGCTGGTGGCGCAGGTGCAGCATCAACAGCTGAGCCAAACAACGGCGAACAGAGCCCCACAATCTGTGAGCTGAGCAGCAGCAGCAGCAGCGGCGGCGCCAATGCGACAATAAATGGTCAAGTGGCAAGTAAGTAAACCTCGAGCTCTACATTTTCCAGCAGACAAAAGTGGCTGTGCTGGGGTCAAAGTTTTCATTTTGTGCAGCAGCCAAGCTGCAATCCCCGAGTGCAATCCGTGCATAATTCATGAACTGCAGCTGACCTTAAAGCCCAAGGCCCCGACAGTCACCTGCCCCCAAAGCTGAGCAACAATTTGAGTACGTTTCGCGTGTGGGAGCTGCTGCCTTTGATTTTTGGCATCCTAAACGCATTAAGACCGTGAAGAGTGGACCATAAAAGTAGCGTAAAACATTTTGACAGCCATCCCTCAAAAAACTTGAAAGCCGAGATCTCTCAGACTCAGCAACTGGAGACTCGATAAGCAGGCCAAACAGTAACAGCTCCGCCAAACGATACCTTTAAGCAGTGGAATCTCGAGTGTAACATAAATTTAAGTGCTGCATAAAAGCGAGCTTTATGGAGCAGCAGCCACTTCTTCAGCCAAGGCGAATGTAGGAGTTGCTGAAGCTTCGCCACTGGCACTTGCACTGCCGAAAATAAATGGAATGCAGTTAACAGTCCAAGTGGGTGGCAGCGTTGTTGATGCTTTTCTTTTTTGGTTTTATTTCTTGTTGTTCTCTGTGTTCGTTTGCCAAACACGCCTCAGGAGCTGGCTTTGTCTCGTTCCTATGGCTGTTATTCTCAACGCTCAACGCAGCTAGATAAATCTTTAGCTATTTACTTGCTCGCAATCGTTTCGATTTGCCTTTGCCTTTGCCTTTGCCAGCCAACGGATGCCAGGAGCCACTGACTGGGTCGTTTCTTTAAGCATTCACATTAACACTTCGGGCTCAGCTAAATACAAAATTGTGTGATGCTACAATAGCTTTAAAGTCATTCTATAAATTATTGATTTACTTACAACGTAGCTGAATGAGCTATACTTATGGCTATGTGAGTAGCGAAATGTTGAGTTTACATTCTTAAATATATTTCAGTCTTGCAATTCTTAGTAAACTCTCTTTTTGACAGTTGTTTGGCAAACTAACTGTAAGAGCTTAGTACCGTTAAGCATCCATACAACACATATTACACAAATATTTGCTCTTCATAATTGCTCAGCTCCATCACTCTCTTGATGTCTCTCTTTCACTCTTCCGCGCTCGCAATCAGACTATGCCAGTTGAGAGGTACAAGGCGAAGTGTGATCAAGCGAGAGGTCATATGTCCGCAGCAGCTATTTTGTTTTACTTGCGCTCTCCGCTCTCTCAAATGCATAAATGTATGCGTAAATATGCATTTACTCGAGCAGAAAGCAGCAGTATGCATACGTTTGTGAAGCTTATACAAAAATATTCCTTTTTGATTGATTATTTTGGCATAGGGTATCAAAGCGTTGACGTTGTAGAAAATATATTTTCTTATGATAGCCGATTGTAGAGTGGTTAATTCTAAATCAAAAGTAAAGTAAATTTTATATACTGAATTTGCAAAAACTTATATGGAACTTACGGATTATATCTTCTCATTCTCTTCTAGCTATCTAACGACTTAGTAAACATTATTTGACTTATGTAATTTCAGTTTATAAACATTTGTATATATTTTTTATTTATGTCAACTTTTCATTATGTTTCTCAACTGACTGTTATATTTTTGATCAAAAATACATTTCTTCCAAAATTTATGTTTATGCTTCAGTAAATCAAAGTGTGTTTAGTCCAAGTGTCAGCCAGTTTGCACCTTATTTATACGAAAGTAGTTGAAGAATTCTAAACACTATTCACTGTCAACCGCTTTATTGCTCTTATTATTTTAGAACACGGCTCACTTACCATTGTACGGCGCTCGAATAGTCGCAAGAGCTTCTCACAGATCGACGGACAATCGCAGCCAATCGCCTCGCCATCGTCGGGCAGCATTAGCTTCTTCCAGACACCGATCAGTGAGACTCTCGCGGAGCGACTTAGTGCTAAGGGCACCAACGGAAACGCACCCCTAACAGCCGCCGATAAGCGTGCGGTAGACAGCTCATCGCGAGTTCAATCGAGTTTCGCTGGCAAAATGCAACCGTCGTCGCCAAATCAAACGAATTTCGTAACCGATGCAAATATACCGACAGCCGAGCGAGCCACCTTCGATTATAGAATAAGTCGCGATACCGGCGAGTTTCAGAACTCCGTAACCACCGGCCAAATTGGCTCAATATTCAATCCACTAATGGATCAATCGTCGCGTCAATCGTTACAATCGGCCTCAAATACTTCGATCGGCGATGTATGGGACACGGAACGTTTGCCACCTGTCGATACGCCAGATGCTCTCAACAAAGCAGCTGTCAGGTGAGCTCATTTTACACATAGATATAAGCATTTAAAAGATTAACCACAGGACGATAGACAAACCAGTACAGTTACAGTAGTTAAGAATAGAAATATCTCAGAACTTTTGCAGAAGCCTAACGTCAGTTTTTTAAAGCCTCAACTTTTTGTTATTACAATGATACAGATAAATAATAATGAAAATAATAGTCCTAAATATTATAGTTATAATCATATGCAATATGCTAAAAAGTGTAAAAAAAAAAAAAATAATAATAATATTTTGTTATTATATATAAAATATTAATTATTAAAGTAACAATGTAAAATTTTAAGGCGCACTAAAGCAAAAATTCAGATAAGCTCAAGTTTTGGTATCGTTCAGGAACTTTATATCTTTAACGCGATAGCACTCCACTCAGACTTATCGAGATATTCTTATAATTGTTAGATGAAAGTATCACGTGGGGACCCTTTGCAGCCCCTTTACAGAGTACAGGGTATACAAAAGTAGGTAGTACTCATTGGACTTCTCATTTATGAGCTCATTATGAACCTGGAATTTTCTTCTAAATTTTGGCTTGTAGAACACTCACTTTGTTCAGATGCGTTTTAGCTGCAATTCCATACACCTGAATGGCCAGTAGCTAGGTAGACCTTGCCCATTCTATGCCTGCCCAGAGTTAACTTGTTACGCGCTGCAAGCAGCCAAGACATTTAAGCCCACTTAATCGGGATATGTGATTCATGGCGACATCCACGACTTGGTCCATTCGTGGAAGGCATCTAGGCATGGCTGGAATTGCCATAAGAGATATGTGGCAATAAGAGAGATGTGCCACTCTGTCATTAAGTCCAGTGTTATATAGTTCATATAAAGTTAAAGCCCTTAAAACCCTAGTTATTTGATTAGGATATATTATGAATTATTTTAAACATATTTACTGACTTCACAAGTTTAATGCAATCTGTGTTCTGATAATATTTAATTAATCTGCATTCGCAGAATACGCAGCTTGCTGCGACGGATGGATCATGAGACCGTTGCCTACGAGGATATGCAGCGGAATCTGCACTATGCGGCGCGTGTGCTGGAAGCTGTTTTCATAGACGAGTCAAGGTAGGTGGATGCATTGTATTTGTGTTGCTTTTGTTTGTGCACTTGAAGAACTCGAAGCTGTTCTGCACTATTCTTTTCTAATCAAAAAATCTAACGACGAGCCGGCCAAATCACAAATTTGCTGCTGCTTTCGGGGATCGTTTAACTCTGTTATATATATATTTATATATATAATACAATTGGTTCAGGCTTTAGCGCATTAGTATGTCTCCTCTGCGTAGAGTGCTGATTGAATTGAATTTCCATTCGGATTGCACACAAAAGGCAAGCTTCAAACAGAGTTTCATAAATCGGAGAGCCTACAATACATACATTTCCCATTATATATCAATCTTAACACGAATGTAGCTAACGACAATTTTCTTCGTTATTGTTTTACGGTTTTTGTTTTTCCGTTTACAACTTTCCACACGTTTTTTATATATTTGTTTTTTTCTTTTTTATACATGTGTGTGTGTTTGATCAGAAGCCCCACATCAAGTAAAAGTAAATTGGGGCAGATTGCGTCTTCATCCGTTGAGAGCGAAGAGTAAGTCTTTTTAGAGCCAACTTCAAAAATATTGGTTTGTCGTTAACTTTGTTACATTTTTTTTTAACTCTCTCAATCTCTCTCTCTCCGTCTCTACCCTACTTAATAACCCCGCCCCAACTACGCGCTCATATCAAACAGAAGAAATTATACTTATCCCAATAATCCGAATACTATATATTCATATATCATTCCACTCTCTCAATCTTTTTCCTTAACTCTCTTCTCTTTCTCTTTCTCTATCTCTATCTCTGTTTCTAACTCTTTTAACTTTCTTTCTATCTCATCAGTTGTAGTGCTATTTTCTGTTGAAACGACTATAACTAAACTATTATTGCCTTGCTCTGCAGTTCTGTGGCAAAGTTGATCATCTTCAATTCATTATGAACTCATCTAACTCATAATATATAAAGAGAACGCGTGTATTTTAGCTAGTCTAGTCAACATTTACATAAATACTACTACTACTACTACCACTACTTCTACTACTAATGCGAATCGTGTGATAATCCCCTCTGCAAAGCTAAGCACCGTATTATTGAAGAACTGTCTCACTCTCTATATCTATATTATTTGATTTTTCCAAAAACACAATATAGTTCCAATTCTCGGTGTATTAAACTATTGATGTCTCTCTACTCTTAAGTATCGAGTTGGTTCCCCTCGTGTCTGCCAGATGACAACTGTCTTCGCATCATCTGACTCTACTATTCCCTACTCGTTACTCGTTACTCGTTACTTGTTACTCGCTCCAAACATCACTCGTTACTTTACGCTAAACGAATTCAATTTTGGGCAGTTTCTTTTTTAAGTTTATATTTGCAGTTGGAAAGGCAACATTGCATTTTTATTATTTACCACAGAGGAACAGAGTTTCAATTAAAAGCCCGAATTCCCAATGCGCCTGTCACTCACACAGCGCACATGTATTATGGACTGCATTCAGCGCCGAACGTAGTCTGTGTGTGTGCCTGGTGGTTGCATTCGCTTTAAATTATGCACAATATTCCGACACGATTGTTCGATTTGCATAGCCAAGTGTGGGTGGGCTTGGGTTGGTCTCGAGCCGTACTCATTCGACAGTCGAAAGTATGCAACACTTTTTATCTGCGAGCTCTCGAGCGTTTGTGCTTGTGTGCGCATTCCTTAGGCAACTAATGTGCTCGCTTTAATTGCCCTTTAACCCCAGCAAAAACAAAACAAAAAAATTATAAAAAAACTATCAACTGATGTTATATTTACTTTTTCTTTCTATTGCCAACCATATTTTGAAATTCACAAATTCATAAAAAAACAATAATTAATATGAATATGCCAAACAACGAACCGTACCATAAATTTGTTGTCTGTACCGGTTCGCTTTTACTCACTGCCAACTGCTGTGCAAAAAAACACTTGACCACCATCGACCAACGACCAATCGTAGCGAGGCTGCCAACAAGAGCTGCAACGGTAACTGCAAAAATCTCAACAACAACAACTCAAATACCAGCTGCAGCCTACACAAGGCATCAGAAGCAGAGGCAGCGGCGCCAGCGACGGCGACGGTGACGTCGACGTCGACTGAGCAGCCACTAAATGCAGACAATCAAACAAACAAAGGAGCTCTGCCGCTGTCGCCATCTGAGGCGCAGGTACCCAAAGCACTAGAAACAGTCACCGAAAGCGTAACAGAAGAGCAAAAGGCAGCAACACCGACAGCGACAACAACAACAACAGCGACGTCGACGACGACGACGACAACAGTTCCAACTGAGTCAGCAAGTGGCGCTGACGCAGGTCAAAGTGTTTCCAGCAGTAGCAGTTGCAGTAATAAAGCGACCGTTCAGCGACAAAGACGCCTGCGCACACCGGTCTGGGCGAGATCAATGTCGACGAATAAAACGTACTTGCAAATGGTTTATATTGCATAAATTAGAATATTTTTAATGCATTTTTAGTTTTTTGTACAATATTTAATATTTAAGTTGTCTTTTACGTTGTTACGTTACGTTAACAAGAAAAAACACAGAAACAAACAAACAAATATAAAAACAAATTTTCTGTCTCTCTGTCTGTCTCTTAACTCTACTACTATATCCAACTTCTGTCTATATACAACATGAAAAATTGTGTGCGTTTCCTTTTCTACTGCTGTATATATGATACTGTCCCTTTTTATACTATATCGCTTTAACTTTGTAAATATATATATGTATATGTATGTATATGAATTCCACTTTTTATACACCCCTTTATTACCCCTTTTCTGCGATCTCTGTACTCCCCCGACCCCTTTGTGTTGCATATGTACAGTCTTAAATAATTGCATACATACATATATTATACGCATATTTGTAAATGTTACTTCACACTTAAATTCATGGCATGTAATTGTCTCTATATACTTACAACTATTCTTAAACAATAATAACTATTATTCCTTAATTGGCTTGCGCATGCGTAAACTTTATTCGCGCATATTTATTTGGGGAAGTTATCGATAGGTAATTTATTCCTTGAGTTATTGTGTATCTGTTTCGATAAGCAATGGAGCAATCGATATTGCTTATGTTAATTAACAGCGCAATGTTATAGTAAGCCCCATCGCTATAACGATCGCGTGGTGGCAACGCTGCGCGTGTTTCTTGCCGCCAAAAGTGAACAAAAACACTTGTTTTGTTGCTTAAATTGTGTGCAAACAAGGTAAATTGTTTATTGCCCAACGGCCGTGTGCCTCAAGTGTGTGCTGAAAGTGCCATGAGCAGCGAAAAAGCGAAAAACGACAATGATCCCAATGAGGACTCGGACGATTCGTGCGGCGTAAGTTGAATATGCAAATTGCAATGAAAAACGCGAAAATTAATAGCAACAACAATTAATTTCCGCATGACACACATGCAGGATGAATCGGCTAGCTTTACCACGAACAGCACCACCTCACGTAGCAAATCGCCGGCCTCCAGCACACGCAGCAAACGTCGCGGCCGGCGCAGCCACAAATCAAAGCCAAAAAGCGGCGCTGCCTACAAATACGAGTAAGTCGGAAGCTGAAGAAAAACGTAATTGGCTTTAAGCTGAAACAATTCTACTCTTCAAGCACGCATGTTAAGGAGAACCATGGTGCCAACATATTTGGCGTCTCGTTCAACACGCTGCTAGGCAAGGACGAGCCCCAAGTGTTTGCCACAGCGGGCAGCAATCGTTGCACCGTCTACGACTGTCCACGCAAAGGCGGCCTAACGCTGCTCCACTGCTATGCAGATCCGGATGTAAGTAGCAGCCAGTGTGTCCACAACCAGACATGCCATTCAATTGCCAATTCATGCCATTCCATGCCAGCCCGATGAAGTCTTCTATACCTGCGCCTGGTCATATAACTTAAAGACGTCCGCGCCGCTGCTTGCCGCCGCCGGCTACCGCGGAGTCATCCGTGTCATTGACATTGAACAGAACGAAGCCGTGGGCAATTACATTGGCCATGGCCAGGCAATCAATGAGCTGAAATTCCATCCGCATAAGCTGCAACTGCTGCTCTCCGGCAGCAAGGATCACGCCATACGCCTGTGGAACATACAGACGCACGTTTGCATTGCGATCTTCGGCGGTGTTGAGGGACATCGTGATGAAGTGCTATCCATCGATTTCAATATGCGCGGCGATCGCATTGTGAGCAGCGGCATGGACCACTCACTCAAACTGTGGTGCCTCAACACCCAAGAATTCCAGCACAAAATCGAGCTGTCGCAAACGTTTAGCCAGGAGAAGTCAACGCTGCCCTTTCCCACAATCACCAAACACTTTCCGGATTTCTCAACGCGCGATATTCATCGCAATTACGTGGACTGCGTGCAGTGGTTCGGCAACTTTGTGCTCTCCAAGTCCTGCGAGAACGCCATCGTCTGCTGGAAGCCCGGCCAGCTGCATCAGAGCTTCGAGCAGCTGAAGCCCAGTGATTCCTCGTGCACCATCATCGCGGAGTTCGAGTACGACGAGTGTGAGATATGGTTTGTGCGCTTCGGCTTCAATCCATGGCAAAAGGTTATCGCACTGGGCAACCAGCAGGGCAAGGTCTATGTCTGGGAAATGGACCCCAGTGATCCAGAGGGTGCCCACATGACGACCCTGCACAACGTGCGCAGCGTGGCGACTGTGCGTCAAATAGCATTTTCCCGGGATGCCAGCGTCCTGGTCTACGTCTGCGACGATGCGACCGTCTGGCGCTGGAACCGGCGCCAAGCGACCGCACTTTAGGACCTTTAAGAGTCGCCAATCCACAGATACAAACCATAACCACAACCACAACCAAATCTCGCGTGGCCAAAATCATAGCACAACATGCATCTAACACTGTGCCTAGTTCCTAGTGCTTAGCCCCTAGTTCTTGTCTCAATTAAACTAATTATCTCATACGTAGCAACTAATGGAGAATTGTAAAAGTATAAAATAACTTTAAAAACATATTCTTAAGTTTGAAAGTCCGATTCGAGGCCGTCGAGCCCATCGCTTTGGCAGCTTTCGATGCACACGACGAAACCACACACCTGGCCATTAAGTAGTCAGCCAGGTAATTGAAAACGCAGCCAGCTGTGTATGCAACGGTATCCGGAGTGGTGTACAAACAAAATGTATGCGTTGCCATTTTCCACGCGTTGCAAACCATAATTAGTGTGCAGCAGGCGAAGGCTTTAAAGAGCAACATTCCGGGATCTGTCCCCAGTTGGCCATTTCGCTAATCGCCTGGCCAGAGCTAACAAAACGAGCTGCAATTGACCGCCATTTATATGCGTTGCTGCACTGCAGCCAAGTGGGTTGAGCACAGTAATGCGACGAAATTGAAACTGACAACAAAGACTCAACTCAACTCAGCCCGACTCGCTGGCAGACAGACAAACCAATCCAGGCTGACGACGGCGTAACAGCTCCCAAGGGAGTTTTTAAGCAGCAAAGCCCCACAATGATCCTTGTACGCTTGCAGCTAAACGAATAGCGTAGAAAGAAGGATTGCTTGGATTATAGTAGCAGTTTCTTTTTTTTTTTATTATATTCTTGTCTACAGGCATTTTCTAATTTAACATTTCACATAGCAAATTCCGTTAAAGCTTTAAATGTGTTACAAGAAAATAAAGCTGTTAAGTAACAGCTCTGTTCGGCTTACGTTATGTTATGTTATGTCATGGGTTTACCTACTCTTTGAAAGGGTATAAAAGTGTCGTCAAATATTTATAAGCTTTTGGTTTTGTTTTTTGTTTTTTTTTTTTTTTGCCGACTGCTGATTGAGTTTTGGAATCTGCTTTGTTTCGACGTTCGTTGACTGCGCGCAACATTGGGAACATTGTTGTGGCTGCTGCTGTTATTTGAGTGTTTGGTGTTTGGCATTTGGAATCCTGCCAAGCAGCAGACCATTTGGATGTGAGTAATTAGCCGCGTTGACAGCGCGTTTGGTGGCCCATTTGGTGGTTTGCCATTATTGGTATTGGGTTGTCAATTGAGTTCTAGCCTTGGACACGCGAACTCATTGGCCGTCTAATCCCAGACAAATTGCCATTTTTTCCTTTTATCATTGCGGACTGTGCTGGCTGGCTGACGGGCTTATCCCTTGCCATTGATCCGTCTGGCGGTGCGTCATTTCGTTTCGTTACGTTTATGGTTGATTTCATTGTTGATTGTTTATCGTTGTTGTTGTTTGTTGTTTTATATTATCATTTTCATGTAGATGCAACTCAGCCACCCATTCCCTAACGTCTTCCAACGATACCGTCTGTACCAGCAGCTCCACGCATGTGCTCAAATATGCTCGACATAGCATAATCAGCCTGAACGACAGCAACAGCAGTAAACGAATTATACGCTTGCGGTTTGTCCTCCCTTTCTCTCTCCCTTACTCTCTGTTTAGCGGGGCTTGTGTTATTTTGTTGCTGCACTCGCTAAAAATACAATTACCCGCACCCACCAACGCAACAGAGCAGCACAACAGTCATTTCGCAATGATTTGTGTCTTTCAACCCACACTCTGTGTCTCTGTCGCACTCGCACTCTCTATTGCTAAGCACTTGTCAGCCAAAAATTAATCAAGCTAACGCCGCAGGACAAGTCACTTGTGGGGCGTCTCCTGTCATTTGAATTTAGTGTTTAACATGTGCGGATGACACCAAAAATTAGTTTAGCATGTCATTTGTCGGCCCACTCTCGAGCAGCCGCCGGGGCCACTGAGCACAAAAGTCTTGGTTTAACGGCGTCTCTTAAGCCGTTGTGAATAGGTCTTATACTGTGTAAGCTTTTAAAAGCGTAACGTAATACACAATCATTTGCTTACGTAATATGAGTATGTTTAAGGTATAAATTACGTGCACGATTGCCCCTAGATACAAATGTACCAAAAGTTGTTGCTATTTTAATGAGCTACAGTAGAACTCCTTTTTTAGTTTTTCTGCTTTTTTGTTAACTTGGCTTTTATTTAAAATCTATTTAATATACTTTTCTAGACTCTTTAGAGCTGTATCGTATCGTATTTTTTTCCTGCGACGCAAATGAAAGTCTCCAATACGCAATTAGAGTCTACACTCATTTGTAGGCTTTTGACCAGCCAATGAAATTCGTATCTTTCGGGAACTGTCAATTTATCTTTTTATTTATTGTCGCTAGCACAGTTCACTTTTACACTGATGTCCCAAAAAAGTGTTACACCCACAAAATGGGCTTATCAGTCAAATTGCTGACGCAACGTTTCGTTTTGTTTAATTATGATAAAAAATAATAATAATAAATTCAAAATTCAAAGCAAAATAAATGGTCTGTGCCGAGGCTTCTTATTGCTGCCCGTCGATATCAATAGTACAAAACTCACAAATTAAATGCCATTTGCGGCTTCATTCATGCGCCGATAAGGTGGAAATGGTTTTAATGTGCTTTTCAGTTTTTGGGCTCACGCACTGCCAGCCGCGTGTGGAAATATGTGAAAGTGCAAATTAAAACGCGCATTTCCAATAAATCATAATTAAAAAACGCCAAATTCCCGCCGTCATGCTGCAACGATCCAAGCCGAACAAGTAATTGCCACAGAGTGTAGCATAAATTCAAATTACGTTTGATTTAAGCAAATATTCAACACACACACAGAGACACATATGTATATATACTCATTAAATATGCCAATGAATGATTCATTGTAGCATTTCACCTGCAGATCGAAATTGCAGGCAATTAAAACGCAAAACTCGAGAGTGCCAAACGCAAGCACTCATAAAAAGCAAGTAAAAGTGTCGGCAGTGCCCGACTACGAGATACTCGTTCTGAAAATATAGTTAACACGCTTGACATCATTTATAATAAAAAGAAGCTGAAATTTTGCCATTCTTAACTTTATAAGTATGAAATATATATAGTCTTAGTAGACTGATTCCGAATATCAAGTAATATAGTTCACGCAGCCCAAGTCGGTTATTTGCTTCTTTCGCCTCATCATTGCCAACTAGCAGTAAAATGGGTATTGGAATGGAATTAGGTCAAGCTGTTAAGTTGAAGGTCGCTCCATTATACGTAGATGTCTCTAAGCAATCGTACAGTTAGCGAAAATATTGTGGGTTGTAGCATTTATATGGATCTAACGGCTCGCAGTCATCAATCATCTTTCGCGTGAAACATTAGGCTCAGCAGACAGCGAGGGCAGTGGGCAGCGGTGCGACTAAGTGACCCAAAAAGAATATATACAATAACAGCAAAAAATGCCTTGAACGACAGCAAAACATGGCCATACAAAGGGAAAATCAATAACAAATGATGTTAACTGACAATTCTTGCCACATAAGCAGCAGCAAAGGACTCATCCACACGGAGGATGTCGGTGAAATAGGCGCATTAAATTGCAAGGACCTTTCAGCTGATGTCCCAACTGCTGTTAGCCGGGCCATTGTTCCTTGCCTTTGACAATACAAACGAAGAGAACACAGCAAATACACGCTTTAATCAGTCTGGCCATTGCGAGGGTTGACCAAGCAAAGTGTGGAATTAGACTAGCCAGAGGGACTTACTTTATGGAAGCTACTGTTTATAGCTTCGCTCGTTTGTAGACCCAAAAAGTCTTCTGGTGGAGACTTGCTTTATGTGTAGCTTAAAGCTCGTTTTGCCCTGAAGATGTGCTAGTTCGATAGAATCTTCTACAAAAGCTCGTTTGTAGACTCAAAAGTCTCCAAGTGGAGACTGACCTTTTGGTGTGCTTGAAGCTCGCCTTTATTTAACGACTTACACATGTTCGCTTTGAGTTTTATTATCGCTCACACGGCTATCATTTTCATATATAGTATGATCCAAAATATTAGGTACAACTCTCTCGCAGCTTTGCGAAATTCACAAAATCTAATGATTTCATGCACGCAACGCGCCCTTGTGCCCAGCTCATGTGATGCTGCACGCAGCATTTATTCTACATTCTGCAAATGCTCTCGACCGCTCTGTGCGTGGCCCTTCAGAAAATACAGGAAAATCATTGACAGAAAACAATGCTGCCAATTTGGTAGCAATTTCCCGTGTTCGCTGGCGATGACAACGACGCGTCGACGCGACGTCAACAAAAATGCTTCAGGCAGCGCCAGCGGCGGAGGCAGAGGAAATTACACGCATAACTATTAAGTGGCATACTTTTGGGGGCTCCATTGTTGGTTTTGCCCTCAAATGAGCCTTAAAATCAAGCTCAAACATTTTAGCGTCGGGAACGTAGCCACAAAATGCTTCGCTAGGCATTCGCCCCAAAATGGCTTTAAGCCGTAAATTGTTGCCATCGAGATTTTTACCACTAAAGATTCAATTTCTAAGAAATTTTTGGCTACTGTTCAACAAAAGGATCTCTCTACATGTACACACACAGTTAAGTATAATTAAAACTGTTTAAATAGAAACCCATCTATGATACGACATATTGTCTTAAGCTAATTAAATGTCACTTAGTAACGTTTGTGAGCGAGACGCACATACATATGTGACAGAAGTCGCCAATTAAAGGACTTGACTCTAGAGCGCCACCTGTTGCCTCCATTGAGGCATTGTTTTATGGCCGCTCGCGTGATTTCTAACTGCACATAGTAGTGGACTGCAAGTTTGCATGCTTGAAACATGCAAATGTGCCGATAAGTGATGCAAACAATTGCCTGGCACGCAATTCGCCGCAAGTTGCGGCGAAATTAAATGCTACAAAATTGTAATGTAATGAAATGAAATGAAATGAAATGCAATTGCCTACATAAACAAAAGTGCTTGCGAAACACAAAGTGTGTGTGTAGGGGAATGGGAATAAAAAAGACTTTTATAACGCTTAGGGGGGCTACCTTCAATGCTGACCTGCGGGCGAAATGTTGAGTGCCGTTGCGGTTGCGGCGTCCGCCATCTTGAGATTCTGGCAGGCATGCAAAGTCATTAAACACAATAAGGCAAACGTCAAGGCTTAAAGAGGAAGTTACTGGCTGAAAAGCCTTTGTGCTCGTGATGTTGTCGTGTTTATCAGCTGGATATAGCTATAGCCCTGCTATTATTGTTGTTGTTGTTGCTTTTGCTGATGCCTTTTAGCATTTTGTATAATTGTTTTGTGAAAATAAGTTGTAAAGGAAAAATATACGAGGCTGCTTGAATATTGTAGTTGTTGTAGCTGGCTAAAGTTGTCTGCGCCCTCCTGAGCTCGCCACAAAGAGTCCGTTTCTTTTATTATTACTACTTTTTATTTTTATTTATTTTGTTGTTTGCTGACATAATTGATATGCCCCATACAGAGCCCTGCACCGTGCTCTGCTGCTGGCGTGTGGTCGAGTGTAGTGAGTGTACGAATTACTATAGTACATGGGGCAGCACGCACAGGCTCTCTCTGAGCAGGTAGCTTCCTGGCTTGAGCCTGGCCCTGGGCCTGGGCCCGGGCCCGGGACACAGGCACGCAACCAGCTCCAGTTTCGCGATGTTGTGGAACTTTTGCGCACCTGGCACAACATTTAGTTTAAATTTAACTCGCAACGGGCCAACTACGCGCAACGCAGCAACTGCTGTCCAAAAGGATTACAACGCGAAAAGGCCAACAAAAAAAATAAATATATAAGACAAAAATAAAAAAGCTGCACAAATATTTGCACACGTGTGTTCTTTCTGTCGTCCTGTCGCTCCGTTGTCATCATTAAAAGCGAATTTGGCGCTAATTGCAAACTGTTGTGCACAACAACAACTGTGGCTAAGCTCGCGCTCTCTCACTCTCTCCCTCTCTTCCGTGCGCTGCTGTACAGTGATAAATTACGGTTAATTTCGAGTGTACCAATGCGAATGCCAATGCGAGCATAGATAGAGCAAAAATAGCTGACATTGACGCAAAGTCAACGCTGCTCCATGTCTACACCAGCAACAAAAACTACAAGAACAAGGAGAACAGTTAAAGGAATAGCAGCAGCAGCGGCAGCAGCAGCAGAGCGAACAGCGCCTCTGGCGAACAGAATCAGAAGCATTAGCTTCGTGATCGTTGCGATGAGTCGCCTGAGGCGTGAAAGCAGCCGTCAAAGCGTCATAACCGTCGAACTAATACAGTTCATAATTCAGTATCGCGCCAAGGAGACGCAGGAAAAGAAGAAAAGGTGCGACCAACATAAAGTATAACTCAACACTGCAATAGTGCTGTGCAATTGCCATACAGTTATAAAGCTAAAGTTAAAACAGTTAATAGACAATGTTGTGTGCCACCGAAGCGGAGCATGCCATGAAAACGGAATGGTATTACATAAATAAATCTAAGTTAAATGACTCCACAATTTAGTAGTTAACCCAACAAACGAACAATAAAAGAATAAGAGTAACTATGCAAACGGCGTGAAGTGTATTTGCGTTAGCTGTCGTAGCGCTTCTCACTCGTACAACTCGTAGCAATTGCACAAGTATCCACAAAAATAACGGGACTTGCTAGCGAGGGCGCCGGGGGGCGCGTTGTGTCCAGGAAGGCGCATACTCATATATTGCGGTCGAAGTTATATAACTTTGCCAGCGTGTGGCTTAAAGGAGCCCACAAACTATGCTGAACTATTGCTGCTGCTGGCTGAGAGGCAAGCGAGAAATTTCTAGAGTTTCAGCTATTCGAAAGCACAGAGGAAGTCGATTTAGAAATGAGAAACGAGTCGAAATGCCGGACATTTCTTAAATTGAATGCAATTTCTGGCTTGAATAGAAACCTGATGCAAGTCTAGTTACTTATATAATATATAAGTCTGATACAAGTCTAGTTACTTATATAAGATATATGCGGCACTAAAAAGGTCAAGAAATGGGTAAGCTTAAGCTGCACTTGGAAGAGAAAACAATATTTGTTCGCTAAGTACCATTACGGTTGCTAAAAGTCGGGCTCCTTTCCTCCAAAACATTTGTTAAGATTTTTCTAAAAATTCCTTTAAGCTTTAAAAAATTTTTAAAATAAAAAAAAAATACTTTAGATTTTTAAAAATCCTTAGCTATTATCGATATGTATAAAAGAAGAGTGGAAAAGCGAGGGCTGATCAGTAAATTCAACACACAATAAAGCAGGAAATAGAGTCAAAGGTTTCAACTTTTAGGTACCATCTTCAGATAGTATCTTCATGGGGTTACTACACCTCAAAATACGTATTTTAGAATAGAGTATATATGAAAAGCCAGACACTATCTATAGCTTTCTTCGGATAGATATACTCTGACTCATGATTACTAAATGCGGATTGAATTCTTTTAAAAAACAGTTTATATTTATTTAGAGTTCTGGAAGCCAGAAAATAATATCTATTAGATTAGCCTTAATTAGGAGCTCTAAAACTGCAATTTGAATTATGAACTTAAAATTATATTTGAATAATTTAAAAAACAATTTCTAATTTTTTGAAGCTTTTTACAACTGTAATAAATTAATTTATTCAAAATTCTTGACAGTCAAAAATAAAAAAAAAATAAAATAATTATGTAAGTAAAAGCTTAAATAAACAATTGTTAAAGAACACATACAAAACAGCAGGAAAAGGAAGCTAGAATATATCTAGGTGGGCATTACACTAGGCTACATTACACTGTGCTACACTAAGCACACCAGTTAGGTGTGAGCTTAGCTGTTATATTAAGATATATTGGGCTAACTAGAAGTTCAAATTTGGTTTAAAGATGTGAAAACCAAGCAAAAGCAACTTTCAGGTATTATAATAAAAGATTTTAGCAGTTAATAGTATAATAATAGCAGGAAATAATCCGAAAATCAAGCTCAAAATGCAAATATCTATAGTTAATATAATTAAAACTGTTATCGCTTGCTTAAAAACTTTGATTAGAAAAGATAAAAAAAGCTGGAATACCCCAACCCAGTTACATTAAGGGCAGTCCCGTCTTGCTAGCTGCACTGCGACTAATTAACCATAATTGAATATGACGCTAATTTCGCTAAAGACCCAAGGCAGCTCGATGGCATTTGCTTAAGTGCTTCTGCAGCTCTGCGCCCTAACGAGCTAACGATGATATTATATTTTTTCCAACTAATAATTGTGTGTGTGTGAGTGTGTGTGCTTAATACTTGGAAATGTGTAAGATATGAGTGGAGTATCGACAGGCCAACAGTTGCCATAGAAATGCACTGATTGGGGCAAGCAGCTTCAGCTTGGCTCCAACCCCCCAAATTGACCAATTAGTTTCGTATTTCAAAATTGATATCAAAGCCAATTACAAGCATAAAATAATGCTCCCAGGCAGCACGGGTCACAGCTAAACTTTAAGTTGAAGTCTTCATACAGAAGGCGTCGTCGTCGTCTTTGGTTCTTGTCTTGTTGCACGTTGCACGTTTGTTCTTGCACTGGCCAAATGCTGGAACTTGGCATGCAATTAGCAAATATACTCTTAGTCAACACAAACCTCACACACTCACACACACACACACACCCACACATACAAGCATGCACTGTGCCCGCTCAACTACGTTCGTTGCCTTTTAGCAAATTTTACATTAATTTTGTATGCATCCCGTTCGATAATGTTTCCTAACCAAAATCGATCTTTTGTTGCATTATCTTACACAAAAAAATATATAGAAGAAATTGGTTTTCCAAGCACCAACTCCAAACAACTTTTCTCCCACTTCCTAACACAAGATTTGATTATTTTTCAAATATATTTTATGGTTTCTTTGTTGTTTTTAACAGTTTGAATTAATTTTTTAACACCAAAAAAATGCAAAAAGGAAAACAATAACAAAATTGCGCTAATTCAAATTTATTATTAATTTAATTTTAATTATTTTTTTTAGTTTTTTTGAAGCGTTTTTGGTAATTTTCTTAACTTAGCCAAAAAAAAAAATAAAATTCAAAAGTTTTTGGAAAACCTTTTATGAAACTGAACTAATAAATGGCTTTTCTTCAAACCCAAAACCCGAACTCCTTTAGGCGCCTGGCCGACGAGGACGATGAGCTGTCCGAGGTGCAGCCAGATGCGGTGCCGCCGGAGGTGCGCGAGTGGCTGGCATCCACCTTTACGCGCCAAATGGCAACCACACGAATCAGAAGTGACGAGAAGCCCCGATTCCGATCAGTCGCTCATGCCATACGAGCGGGCATCTTTGTGGATCGCATTTACAGGCGTGTATCCAGCTCTACGCTGATGCAATTTCCACCTGACGTAGTCAAACTTCTTAAGGTGAGTGAACTGCTAATGAGTCCAGAGCAGCTCGAGAGCTGTGTGACTATTGAAGACGTTGTCTTATCAATGTCAAATAAGAATTTAGCTCTTTGATATTTTGTTATCTTTATAATGGAACTATATTTCCGGGTTGCAATGAGTTTTGAGTATAACACAGAGTTGTATAATTCATTTTTAACGAAAATTCTGTATACGTATCTTGCTCCTAGATAAGATTGTCTAATTTGTGAGTCAATCAAAGACGACAATTTCTTAAGTGTTTCATATTTAGTTATAGAAACGTATGTTGTATTCAGGATCTCTAGCTAAGGCTAAGACAAAGCCTAAGAAAAGGAAAAGTTATTCAACAATTAAATTTCCATCTTGAAGCCCATCTGCAGTCCAAGCGCAGCTCAAGCACAGTTCAAGCGCAGCCCAAGCGCAGTTCAAGCGCAGTCCAAGCGCAGCCCAAACGTAGCCCAAGCGCAGCCCACACTTAGTCCCAGCGAAGCCCAATCGCAGTCCAAGCGCAGTCCAAGCGCAGCCAAAACGTAGTCCAACCGCAGCCCAAGCGCAGCCCAAGCGCAGCTCAAGCGCAGCCCAAGCGCAGCTCAAGCGCAGCTCAAGCGCAGCTCAAGCGCAGCCCAAGCGCAGCCCAAGCGCAGCTCAAGCGCAGCCCAAGCGCAGCTCAAGCGCAGCTCAAGCGCAGCTCAAGCGCAGCTCAAGCGCAGCTCAAGCGCAGCTCAAGCGCAGCTCAAGCGCAGCTCAAGCGCAGCTCAAGCGCAGCTCAAGCGCAGCTCAAGCGCAGCTCAAGCGCAGCTCAAGCGCAGCTCAAGCGCAGCCCAATCGCAGCCCATCTGCAGTCCAAGCGCAGCTCATGCGCAGCTCAAGCGCAGCCCAAACGTAGCCCAAGCGCAGCCCACACTTAGTCCCAGCGAAGCCCAATCGCAGTCCAAGCGCAGTCCAAGCGCAGCCAAAACGTAGTCCAACCGCAGCCCAAGCGCAGCCCAAGCGCAGCTCAAGCGCAGCTCAAGCGCAGCTCAAGCGCAGCTCAAGCGCAGCTCAAGCGCAGCCCAATCGCAGCCCATCTGCAGTCCAAGCGCAGCTCATGCGCAGCTCAAGCGCAGCCCAAACGTAGCCCAAGCGCAGCCCACACTTAGTCCCAGCGCAGCCCAAGCGCAGTCCAAGCGCAGTCCAAGCGCAGTCCCAGCGCAGCCCAATCGCAGCCCAAGCGCAGCGCAAGCGCAGTCCAAGCGCAGTCCAAGCGCAGCCAAAACGTAGTCCAACCGCAGCCCAACCGCAGCCCAAGCGCAGCTCAAGCGCAGCCCAATCGCAGCCCATCTGCAGTCCAAGCGCAGCTCATGCGCAGCTCAAGCGCAGCCCAAACGTAGCCCAAGCGCAGCCCACACTTAGTCCCAGCGCGGCCCAATCGCAGCCCAAGCGCAGTCCAAGCGCAGTCCAATCGCAGCCTAAGCGCAGTCCAAGCGCAGTCCAAACGTTTCTCAAGCGTAGCCCAAACGTAGCCCAAGCGCAGCCCACACTTAGTCCCAGCGCAGCCCTACCGCAGCCCAAGCGCAGCCCAAGCACAGCCTAAGCGCAGCCCAAACACAGCCCAAGCGCAGCCAAAACGCGCAGCCGCTGCGTCAACGACAACAGCGCAGTAAGCAGAGCGCGTGCTTATGCATGCAAGTGTATGTGTGTGTATACATGTGTTGTTTGCAATGTGTGCATTACAGAAATGTAAAATGATTGGAGTATCGCTGTGGGGCTCAGGATATCTGCTAATCGAGCAAGCTCAACTATAACTCTACTTATTCCGATTAATCATAAGTTATATATATATATATATATATAAATGCATCTATATATACATATTTGTATTTTATTATCCATTCCATACATAGAATCTAGACGAATGGACTTTCGACGTGTTTGCATTGACCGAGGCAGCCAGTGGTCAGGTGATTAAGTATGTTGCCTATGATCTGCTCAATCGTTATGGTGCCATGCACAAGTTTAAAATATCGCCGGGGGTACTCGAGACATTTTTAAATCGCGTTGAGGAGGGCTACTGCCGCTTCCGGAATCCATATCACAACAATTTGCATGCTGTCGATGTGATGCACACGATGCACTATTGCTTGTGCAACACGGGCCTGATGAACTGGCTGACGGACTTGGAGATATTCGCCTCGTTGCTGGCGGCGCTGCTGCACGACTTCGAGCACACGGGCACCACTAACAATTTCCACGTGATGTCCGGCTCGGAGACGGCGCTGCTATATAACGATCGAGCGGTGCTGGAGAATCATCATGTGAGCGCTAGCTTTCGGCTGATGAAGGAGGACGAGGCCAATATACTGTCGCACTTGTCGCGGGATGAGTACAAGGAGCTGCGCACGCTCATCATTGATATGGTGCTGGCCACCGATATGACGTATCACTTTCAGCAGCTGAAGATCATGCGCAGTCTGCTGACATTGCAGGAGCCCACCATAGACAAGTCGAAGGCTTTGTCCTTGGTGCTGCACTGCTGTGATATCTCGCATCCGGCGAAGCACTGGGATGTCCACCATCGCTGGACCATGCTGCTGCTGGAGGAATTCTTTCGGCAGGGCGATCTCGAGAAGGAGCTGGGTCTGCCGTTCAGTCCGCTGTGCGATCGCAAGAGCACGCTCGTTGCCGAATCTCAAATCGGCTTTATCGATTTCATTGTGGACCCCAGCATGAGCATCATGTCCGAAATGCTAGAGCACATCTTGACGCCAATCGGGCCGGCCATCAAGGCGAAGCCGGCGTCCGTGCCCGAAGAGAACCCTGATCACGATATGGATGATTCGAAAAAGAATGCCTCCTGCTCTATGACGCGCAAGAGCTTAACCGGCGCAAAGTTTACCATTACCAAACCCTGGTTGGCTTGTCTATCCGAAAACAAAAAGATCTGGAAGGAGCAGGCTATCAAAGGTAGGCATTCACCTGTAGCGCATTAGTCGGTGCCTAAGTCATTTCGTAGACATAATTCACTTACAATTGCCCCTTGCCCTTTGCCCTTTGACCCCTTTCATATAAAAACACAAACCAAAGCATAATCAATCCTCTCACACAGAGTTGTTAGAACGTCGAAGAAAAAGTGCGATATAAAAATAAATCAAGTTCAAGAAAATTCTTAGAGTACTCGAAAGTCACGTAAGTCGCATCGATGCGCCCCATGCGATCCCAAAACTAAACCCTCGATATTTTTATAGCGAGAGACGGAAGTTAAATATTTTTGCCGATGCAAGTTGAACCCAGGAAAAAAAAAGAAATTTTTATTCACAGATACCGTACCTGAGATTCTCTTTTAATATAATATATTTTTTTTTGTGTAGTGTTCTCAATTTATTGATTATTTATGCCAATGCTGTCTAACAACATTTTGAGAATATTTCAAATTAAATTATATTTTACTAAATTACTTTATATATATATATATAAAAAAATATTTAAGCATTGTTTTATTTCGATTTTTGTTTGCATAAAATAAATTTCAGTTAAAATTTAAATTAAAAATCTTAAAATGTAAATTCAAATAAAAATATTAAAAAATTGAAACTGAAATATCCAAAGATAAGACATAAAATAGTTAACCTGGCCAATGCGCTTAAGCTGTATTTTTTATGGTTTTGTAAGATAGAACCTGAACCTTTGTTTTTAACAAATTTTTTTTCAGATGAAAAAAAGTATATATAATTCATGCAAGTATATATAATTCTTGTTCTACCCTTAAATTTCGGAAGTTCGAAAAGTTGCGCCTGTCCCGTGCCTGATCTAATCGCCTCTTGTTTGCCCTTACAGATGCCGAGGCACGTGCGCTGGCCGCCGCTGCCGAAGCCGCAGCTGAAGCTGAGGCCGAGACCGAGGCCAAGCCCGCTGGAGAAGCGGCAGCCGATGAGCCGAAGGATGCGGCTGCAGCCGAGAGTGCAGCTGCCAACTGAAGCGCTGTGCCCTGAAGAAGCTGCAAAGCGTTAAATAAGTGAACCCTAAGCGATATGCAATAGTTAAGACAGATAAATACCTACATAAATACATACATAGTTACTTACAATCTCTGCACAGATAGCTCGAACAATTGTATAAACAAAACCAAGTATTTGTTGCTTAACAATTATTGTTAAACAAAAGAAGCAGAAATAATAATTATATTGGCTAAATGTGCGTGCAGCTGCTTACGCGCAATACTTTCATGTTAGTAGATCAATCAAAACAAAACACACAAAAAATATGAATATTTATGAATGTACCATATAATATATATGCTAATATATTATATAACTTGTTGCAACTAGTTTGTTAAACAAAAGATAACTAAACAAAAGAGAGAAAGCAAATATATTAGAGCAAAGCACAATTCGAAAGTGTTTTTACGTTTTGGTTATATAGAAAAGAAAATATTTTGTAAATAGTTGACATTTATAGAAAGTCAACAGGAAGAAGAAGAAGAAGAAGAACCAGAACAACAACAATTAATAAGCATTTACTTAGCTTAGTTCATAGTTTGAAATATATTTACTTTAACTACTTTTAGAGCCTAACTCTAAACTTATCCAATACATATACTATATATATATAAATATATATATATATATATAATTTCTTAAGTTTTCAATAGAATTTCGGAATTTATTATATGTTTATGTTTCGTTTTAATTCACAACATTTCTGTCTGTATGCAAAATATTTTTTATTAAATTTCTATTTTCTATATAAACTTTTTGATTTCTTTGCCCACATGAAAAGCTAAAACTTTGCTCAAGGATGCCTAGATGTTAAGTACCTAACTATTATAAAAGATATCTGATATGGCAAAAAATACCTGAACTATGAATTAGCTATACTTAACTTGTGTTAATATCTAAAAGACCTCTAACAGACTATCTAAAACTTCTTTCCTTGAATCTCCCTCTACATATGCACATGGCTACCTATTCGTACTACCTATATCGTGTGTACGTACATACCTATATGTATATACATATATATATATATATATATGAATGTTAAGAATAAATATATATATATACTATCTGAAGCATACTCGTAATGGCACATCTACAGTCGGAAAGTGCATATTTATTTTTATACGTGAACAAGGCTTATGTTTACAAACAAAAAAAGATAAAAAATTAAAAAAAAAAACAAAAACATAGATGACATAAATAACTACCAGAGTTTATGTGTTAGATGATTCTTTTCTGTTTGATTTCTTGATTGTGTGTGTTTTTTCTCGAACTCGAAGAAGAAACCAAACTAAAATGTTTTAAACGTTTTTCAAAATGTCTGATAGCGGGACCATTCTTTTAAGATTTACCATTGCCCTTTAGCGGAGCGACAGACGACACTGGACGGCGAGCGTTAGGGGTAGTCCCCGAATCTATTTGGATTGTGCTCGCGTTCAAATGGGGCGGGCTTAAAGGACAGTGGTAAATGGGCTTAGCAGTAAGGTACCAAATTATCAGCTGAAATTGGGATCATAGCTTTATTAAGGTAGTAAATACTTGTAATTAACTACTGTAGTTGGTAAAAACAATGCGAACGGGCCCAAAACCCATTTGCCGTATGAGCCATCTGAAACCATGCAGTTAGTTACTTACACACATACACTTACACACATACATACATACATATATGTGTAATCTTATAGCTACAGTAAATACTAACATATATTTAGCATATACCATATATAACATACATAAATACGAATACATATTATGTATATAATTAATGACAATTTAAAGGATATGTGTATCGAAACAAATTGAACGCTCAAAGCGGTTAGGTCAGTATATAGTCGGCTATATAGTCAGTTTCTATTTGTATATCTATGTAGAACTCTGTACAAAATTAATAGAAAGAAGAGGAGAAAAATCTAAAGGTGAACGCTGTATTAATGCATAAGATTCGAGCGCAGTCCAATTAGATGTCTATGCGTCTCCTTCAGTTCCAGTTGTTTGGCTAGAAAGCCCAATGAAATATTATTATTAAAATCTGTTACCAAACATAGCGTACAAATCACTAACCATACTAATACAGACATACATATATATGTAGATCGAACATCTAGAATAAACAGCAAGACTAACGCACACAGGCACATAAAGGCTATTTTACATATACATGCGCGTATAAGTGTGCGTCCATGCTCGTTCCGTGAGCATAACAAACACTAATACATTTGCCATGATCTTCTACTTGTGCAAGCGTATGCATATATGAAAGCTTACATTTGAGAGAGCACTGAGAGTAAGCAGAATACAAAATGGTGTTTGGTAGAATCTGATGGCCGCATCGGACCTCTCACTCGATCACACTACGCCTTAAGGCTGTAAATTGAGAGTGCAAGAGAATAAAGTACTCGAGCAAATACGAAGTTGATTTTGATGAAGTAAAAAACTTTTGCTCTAGGTATTCCATCTGTATGTTATATGGGTTAGTGGTACAATACATTCAAACGTATGTCTTAAAAGTTACTTAGCGAATTGTAGTTTTGTAGCAAAAAATAAATATTTAACATGCATATATACACACACACATTTAACTAACAAAATAATAATAATAATAACAATAATAACAATAACAATAACAATACTATATAAAATAAAATTAAAATATATGTTACGCACGCATTTAACAAACTTCGAAAATAATTTCAAATATTTAAACAAGTTTAAATGCTAACAAAGATCCTATGATTTTTTTTCTTTGAAATGTGCAAATCAGAGAATTATTAATTAATAATTAATGAATTATGTATAAATATATGAGTTCAAAGCAATCATTACATTTAAAGTATAAACTATTATAATGCATAATACATACATATGTTATTCTTAATCAAACCAAAGAAATACAAAAAAGAAAAAAACTTAAGTAACAAAATATAGGTTTTTGTGTAAATAAATGTGCACAGGTTTAAAATAACTTTTTAACCACCACTACACTTAATATACTCCTATAGCAAACATACTGCACGCTAAACTGTAAATAATTTAGTTTCATTTACTGTAAAAGTCTAACGCAAAAATTTCTTGAATTTTTTTTTTATTTTTCTGTTAAACTCGAAATGTTTATTACACATATTTATCAGCTGGTTTAAAGTATTTAGATGAATGGCTGAGATGTGTGCTTATTACGAAATACCTTCAAGAAATTATAATAACACCATATGACTTTTAATATACTAATAAAAATATTATTAAACCTATTGTGAGTTTTTTCATTTTGAAATGAAATGTGAAACTAAAAATGATAAAAGTATCGATAGCTTAGTATCGAAATTCAATTATAATAGCAGCAGGCTAAAATCTTGTTAACAGTGCGTTGCCACTTGAGTATAACATGGTCAGCTGATTGCTTGTGAACGTAGCATGTGAACGATATTGTGTACACGTTGCGTGCTTACTGTCAGTTTATTGTAAGTAGCTGCACAACAAAAAAACCCATTTTTCGCTAGTGTTTTCCACAAAAAATGTCGATATAAGTATTAAGATGTGCTGCATTGAAAGCATAACGTTAAATCATGTTGCAGCGTTAACAATTTAATGAAAAGCTATCTTGTTAACAACACTAGTTCAACAACTCCACTGTATACGTGAATATATATGCGCCGTGTGTGTATGTGTGTGTAAGTGAAGTTTTTGCCTATGGCGTTGCCATCCACTCAGCGGCAAATTGGAGAATGTGTTTGTTGTTGATGTTGTTTAGCTGTTTATTTGATATTTGCGAAAAAGGCCATGATTAATGTTTAATGGGGAAAACGTTTCGGTCAAGTGACAATGTGACACAGTAATCTAAAACTGAACTATCACTGCAAACCGCCTGACCATAAAAATGAGCCCCGCCCCATTAAATATTTTTCTATTTTTTTTTGCTACATTTTCCTTTTACCAAATTAAGCAACAGCGCTCGACCACCTTGGCACGCCTTAGCGGCGCCGTCCACCCACATGCCAACTGTCGTGCTTGGGCTTAATTAATTTTTTTGCACTAATAATCTAAGCGCCAGCGCTTTGTAAATAAACTGGCGCAAACGAAATCTTATCGCGGGGCAATCGGACAGCGTCGTTATCATTTATCTCAAATAGAGTCATCCTTATCGAGAGTTGGAAATAATAATTTACATTTACAGCCACATTAGATCTGCTGGAACTGTTAATTCAGAGCTGTTTTAGCAATTGGCTTCTTAAATCAGGGCTTATCTCGTGCCAATTGATATAATAACAACTGTTTTAATGTATTTGCAGAATTTATAGTCTTGTTTCGCGCTTGGCTACAGGCAGCAGCAGCAGCAGTTGCAGCAGTTATTGTTGAACGATACGCCACCGCCATGCTCATAAGAAACGCTCCAAGTATTCAACCCAAACGAGCAAGTGCCAAAAATCGCAAACCAAGAGCGTGAGCACCCAATTCCGCCCCAAATTGAGTGTAGCGAGGCGCTGTCTGAGAACCAACTGAAGAGAGCGTAAGCAAGAGAGATCGATAGAGAGATAGAGCAGGAGAGTGGAAGCCGGAGAACTAGTCAGGCGCTAGACAGTTGCATTTATAATCGACGGCATTTGTGGTGCATCATCATCATGGGCAACAAGAACTCGTGCTGCGCCTACTCGAGTCCACAGTCGGATCGCAAGTCGAAGGATATACCGCCAGTGTTTGAGGAGCGGCATCAGCTGCCGCACACATCCCAGCATCAGCTGGATGGTCATCATGGAACTGGTGGCGTTGCAATGTCCGTGCATCACCATCAACAGCATCATCAGCAGGGCAACAGCAATGCGGACAATTTTGAGAATCAACAGAATCTGCAACACATCTCGGAGCGTGAAGCGCTCGAGGGTGAGGAGGATCCATCAGTGGATCCAACGGCAGCTACCATGTTTTTGGAGCGCTCCAAAGTGGAAAATGGCGGAATGTCGCGAAAACGTTCACAGCATCAAATTGCACAACAAAACAGCAGCATCGGCGGCGGCGGCGGCGGCGGCGGTTCCAACACGCCTGGCGCCAACAGCTCGGGTGGCGGCTTCACTGGAGGTGGCGGTCTCAAAAAGAGCTCCTCGTGTTCCACAATCTATTTAGATGATAGCACCGTGTCCCAGCCAAATCTGAAGAACACCGTCAAATGTGTTTCGTTGGCCATTTACTATCACATCAAGAATCGGCAATCCGATCGGCGATTAGACATCTTCGACGAGAAGCTGCATCCCCTAACACATGATCATGTGCCCGATAACTATGATACGCTTAATCCTGAGCATCGACAGATCTACAAGTTTGTGCGCACCCTCTTCAATGCCGCCCAGCTGACGGCCGAGTGTGCGATCATAACTCTAGTCTATCTGGAACGTTTGCTCACCTATGCTGAACTCGATGTGGGGCCATGCAACTGGAAGCGCATGGTATTGGGTATGTCAGACACGCTGAGCGATATTTGCGAAATACTCCACAATAGATCAAGAATTGAATATATAAAGTCCAATTATCTCTAATTTTGTGCATCTATTACTGAGTATCGCAAATCTCTATGAATATACTTTTTAAAATAGTTTTATAATCATAATTTTGATTGCCTTGCAGGTGCCATACTGCTTGCGTCTAAGGTGTGGGATGACCAGGCAGTTTGGAATGTCGACTACTGCCAGATACTCAAGGATATTACGGTCGAGGATATGAATGAGCTGGAGCGTCAGTTTCTCGAGCTTTTGCAGTTCAACATAAATGTGCCCTCTTCCGTTTATGCCAAATATTACTTTGATTTGCGCACGCTTGCCGAAGCGAATGAGCTCAATTTTCCCACTGAGCCGCTGTCGAAGGAGCGCGCCCAAAAACTGGAGGCCATGTCACGTGTCATGCAGGACAAGGTGACAGCCGAGGCGCTCAAGAATGGCATCAAGAAATGGTCCTCAATGGACAATGTCAGTCAGGGCGGACCGCGACGCAGCGTGGCCATATTATCGTGATTTATATTAGCTTATTAAAAACTAAACCAACAAAAATTGTATTCTATTCTGTGTAGAAGCCGTAGCGGTACCGACTTGTCCTTCCCACACAAAAGAAACTAAGAAATTGTAAACTGAAAAAGTCGCGCCTGTAAGTGAAAACGTTCACAATTTGTTTAACGAACTTCAATTTATACATTTCTTATGACTTGAAATTCATTTGCTATCATTTAATTAAGTGTACTAACTTTATGAGAAAGTTACATTCAAAATCTAACGAAGGCAGCACACATGAATGAAAAAAACAAAAGTAAATTTTCAAAAATAATGAAAGTCTTTTACACACACACCCACACCACGTCTCGAATTAAGGACCACTTTTTATATATACACACAATGGTATACAATACTACCGATTGCAGTCAAGGATTTGGATGTCTTTTAAAATATGCCTAACAACTACAACAGCGCGTAACCAATTGCCAAAAACAGAAATACTTAAAAAAAAACACAAAAAAATAAAAAAAAATGAAATTGCACTGTATAAAAAGCTTGAATATTGAACAATATAATATTTTGTAATTTGGTAAATTTAGTCACAACGACAACAACAAATCGACTTATCTCAATGGATTCCAAAGTGACTAATCCAAAAAAAAAGAAAACAATTTTAACAGCAACTGCGCCCCCAAAAAACTAAAAGCAAGAAATTCTTTCTGTAAATTTGTAACGAATTTAATATTGTTTTATTTTTGTTTGCTAAATTTCAATTATGTTAAGCGATTTTCTAATAGTTTCGAATAAGTTCACATATATATTTATATATATACTTGATCGAATCGAGGCGCAGCACAACTATTTGGGGCGTGGCATGCATCAAAATATATTTGTTTTGATTAATAGTAATATTTAAACACAGAGCGCAATATTTAACCCAAGATTTGTGAGTACATTAATATTTTAGTCATATAAGGATACGAATTATATGCAAGAAATGTATTTTATTTTGTAATTTATTTTACGATAATGCGAAATAAAAACAAATCACAAATTCTATTTTTAGTAGTAATTGTTGACATTGATAAAGTATTTTAGAAATATATTTCATATAGATTTTTAGCTTTTCAGATCAAAAACCACATCAAAATTCAATATAAACTTTCTGAATTAATAAAAGAGAACAATATTTAAATAAATAAGCTAATTAAAATTATATGTTAGTCAAAGTCAATTTATTTTAAATAACTGAAAACAATTAAATACATTTCTTTGTTTTGGTTACTTAACGAAGCAAAACAACATAAAAATAAATAAATAAATGGAACGTTTACTAACATTATGTTTGACCGATACACATAATATATCGATATATTTTTTTATCTAATGTCTTATTCACACTTAGTTATGAATGAGCAATATTTAGACGAATACCTATTTATATATATGTATATCATTCACACATAATAAATTTGCCAAACTGAGTTTATTAAGCTTATTAATAAAAATAAAACATATAAATAAGGAGTCATGATACTCGGACATCGATATTATTATCATGAAAGTACTATCGAAATAAAATGAACATACCAATATCGATATGCCGCTACTATACAATCATCCCTAATTCTACTCTCCTTACTCTTCATATTTTGTGCACAAAAAATGCACATATTTAAAAGGTAGAAAAATATGTGTAAATATAGTGCAAAATGTTCGCAAAAACAATATAACCAAAGTGCGTGCGGTATGAAAATTTGACGTTGTCGGTATTTGACTAGAGCGGCCATTAAAAAAGAATTGTAAGCGTCGCGGTCCGGGACGCCTGCTGCTGCAACATACACAAGCATGAAAAAGAGGAGTGGTGGCAAGTCAAAAGAACTTGGATTTCTGGTCTGACCGCTGTAAGTAAAATGTGCATATGCATGTGGATGCGTGTATGTGTGCGTATGAGTATTAAAATAAACTGGGAAATAAAATTTTGCCGTTTGTATGAAAAAGTATCAAATTGTTAAATTTTGATGCTGCCATATTTCAACATACAATTTTTACCGCCTTTTTATACTAAAGCACTAGCTCCCGGAAAGCAGCGCACGGCCAGTCAACGCTAGTCAATAAGAACAACGCAATCACACACCAACGCAAACACAACACACAGATACGCCACAATGTTTCTGTACCTCTCTCTCTCTCTTTCGCTGGTTCTCCCACGAGAAACAGAAACACCGAACACGAAACAAGAGCTCTTCACGAATACACTAGGTAGGGCAGTTCAAAACTATTTTAAATTAGAACCACTATAAGAGCAAACCTTTTAAATTGTCTTCAAGTTTTCCATATGTTCCTATAGAAATGCACTTTTTTTATAATACATAATTATTTTCAAATAATTTTATAAATTGATTCCATTTAACTGTACAAAATGAAAAAATTAGCTTTACTTTTATATTTGAAATTTGAAATTTCAGATTGATATTTATTTTTATAATTGCTTATCGGTTCAGACCTGTTAGTAGAGTTATTAAAATCTAAATGTTAGCCTTAAAAAGTTTCGTTCTTTGCAACGTGGTATGATAACTGCTTGTGCTCACTGTGTATTCGTGCAGGGCACGAAACGAACGCGCCTCACGAAGAACTTTACATCGCGCTTCTGCTTCTGCTGCCTCCGCGTCTCATTCAATTTTCAGTTTGCTTTGCTCTGTACACCGTACACCACCGCCTCTCACCCGCGCGGCGTTTTGATTTTTCTACTACTGTTGCTGCTGTGCTGCCAAAGTTTTTTCCACACACACGCACCGCCACCAGTACAATCAAGTAATTTTTCATACATACATACATATAATGGCGTCATAAGAACATATTTTAGCGAATGTTAATGCAAAAATGCAAACAAGTAATTGGCGGGGGGGCGGGAGACTTTGTAGTGAAAAGTGCTCCTGGAAGTGAGTGGAAAATAATCTGATTGGAAAAATAGTGTATATTTGTGAAATTCTAATACAATATTATCAAATGACTGCGGTCGACATCAGTGTGTGTGCGAGAGTGTGAGCGACATATGCATGATTATGTGTGTGTGCGTTTGAATGAGATACGTGAGCTGCTGTATGCATATGTATTGTATCTATGAGACCGTATGTGTGTGTTCGTAATAAATATACATATAAAGACACACACATCGAGTTCCCATTAACGTCATCATCGTGTCATTTTCTTGTTTGCAAGGCGGCACAGGGTTGCATTTTTGAAAAATGAATTTTTCGTATTAATAAATGCAAATGCAAGTGAACTTTGATTGTGTATGTGCATATATGACATTTAAATATCTTTGTGGGGATTACATTTTTAGATTTTGGGTTACCATATGTTTCATTAAAGTAAGGTTTTGGACCATCGGTCCAGTATACTTTACAGTTTTTTTCGGATTGAGTTTCCGTTTTTTTTCGTTTTTATATTTTATTAAACAATTATGAAATGCACACTAATTGGCTGTAATGAAAATACATATGTATCGCTCTCTCGTTTGCCTCTCCCTGCTCAGCAAAAATTGAGCGACAACCAAACAAAATTAAAAATAAAAAGCCGAGAGACGAGGCAACGGCAGAAATAATTATAACTATGTATAACTCGAGTTCGGCATAGAATGTGGGCAAAACGCAAAACTTGTATGCGCCGCCTGTACTGTTCGCTCTTCGCTTCGGTTCGCTCGTTGCGCGCCCGCCTTAGCTTTCATTTTTTTCTCGTTTTGCTTGTGCCAGCCTTTTTCGCTTTATTTTGTACTTACGCTTTGCGATTCAATTCGTTTTTATTGGTTTTCCGCTTTAGGCGGTTGGAATTGAACGTAGCGTCGTCGTGCAAATCGTCAGAGGGGTGTGTATGGGGAAACGGGGAGCGTTGTCGTTCAATGAATAATGAGAGGCAATGTAAGTGTGAGAGTGAGAGGCAGCAGCAGCGTTTGCAAGAGCGAGAGCGGCAGCGAACGTTGTGTGAGCGGACAACGAAACAACAAATAAAGCAAAGCATAAAAGTGCACAAAGCAAGGAAGAAGAGACAAGGGCCAGGTCACACAGCAAAGAGACGACCGCAGGCCGAGAAACCAGTGAGAGAGGGAAAAAGAGAAGAAAATACAACTTCTTTTCATTTTTTTGTTGGCATAACAGCCAAAAGCGAACTGAAGCAGAGAACTTCAACATTTAGAAGACGGACAATGCACGCACATACCGCAATAGATATAGCATATACATATATACATACATACTTATAAACATGTATAGCAACATACGTACATTGATAGATACGTACTTAATACACAATTAATTCGATATGAGTGAGGTGGAATATATATTGAATTAATTATATATAGATATGAACCATATAATAATGATATATCTTCTTAAATATTTACGTGAGCTCTAATTTCAAATAGTTGTCTGTTGCCCCCTGCCGTTAATTGTGACGCAGCTTTCAACTGTATGCTTGCAAAAGCACATACACACACACATACGCATGCACATGAACTTATATGTACACAACTGTCGTATGTGTGTTTTTGCATATTGACTGCAAATAATTTTCACTTGATTTGCTTTTGCTGCCTTCCCTGGTTTTTGGTCTTCGGTGCGCGCTAGCGGAGAACGTTAATAGTGGGAAGGGGGGTGCAACTGTACCGCGCGGTCCGTTTGATTATTTCGCGTAAACATAAACACAAAACAAACTGTTGCTCACCGCTGCTGTTATCGTTGCCTCTCTTTTTACAGGTGGCCCGAACGTAACGAAATACTGATTGAAAGTGCATTAAGCGAGGTAGCCGGTTAACTGTAAAATTCATTTAATATGTAAGTTCTGCTCCTGGTGAGACAGAAGGGCGGCAATTAAAGTCACAGCGAAATATTGCATAAGGTAAGTGAAATTGGCGCTGCGCTAAATAAAATTAGCTATAACAACTTAACTTTATAAATTGTAATCTAATAAGAATATTTAATAAGTAACTGGTTTTAAATAGTGCTATAATTAACTAATTTTTTATTTAAACATGTTGGACACTCTTGGATTAAAGAAGTCCTCAAAAATAAATATAAATGTCTAAGAGTTTTCAATATAAGTATTTATCATTTATTAGTTTATTACTTCCTAATTTAAATTCCAATTCGAATCTATTTCTTCTAATATTTTGCTGTTGAACTTCATTAGAATTTTTTCGTGGCCGCACCGCCCATTTTCCCAGGGCCAGGCAGCAAAAACTGGAGTTACATACAATAATATATGTATGTGTTTATGTATAACATACATACTATGTATGCATGTGTATGTATTCCTACCTCACCACATAAAAAGTGGCGCCCTTTTTGTGTTACATGAACTCTCCCACACCCCGTTCTTTCTCTTGCATATTTGTATTGTCTTTGTGTGTCGTCTGCTCGTCTGCTTAGCTGAATTATTTGCTGGGCCAGTAAAAACAATCAAATGGAAAGACGCAAAGAGAAAAAGAGAGAGAGAGTGAGAGAACACAGCTTTGGGAGAGGGGAGTTTTGCTGCTTAAGCGCTTACTACAGCTCAGGACCTATGCAAACAATGGGCTCTCCGCAACCCGCTGTTTATCCAACCCCCACTCATGCGCGCGCGCTTCGTTTCTCTCTTTTTGCCGCTCACTTATTTAACCCCCCGCAGGCATCTATAGTTTTTCTTGCACACACACAAACACTCAAACACTTACGCTCCAAAGCGCGTTGTCTTTAATCGATTTGTACTTCTTGATATTTACATCAGCCACCTGCCTCCTCTCACACTTGCACACACACGCACACACTCACACTGTAGCTCTCATACTCTCCATGCGCGCTCTCAACATTTCTATCAAATGCTTGCATTCTCTGATTGGATATCTAAATCCTGAATCCTGCTAAAACGAGGCATATCGACGGAGCCCACTTCACACCCATCACCATCACCAGCTCCACTCCCTT